ATTGTATGTTAAAAAACGAATCGTTTTTGCAAATTGACGCGTTTTGGTGAAGTGAAGCACTTCTTTCGACATTTATAAGGTAAGCTGTTATTTTTGAGTTGTTTGTATTAGAAATGGTTTTTTAACGGCTACATATCATGGAACATTCTCGGCATGATACATTTTAATATTTCATGTTATGATAAAGACAGTGTTATTATTGTGCTATTCGGTTTTTATTGTGCTATTCGTTTTTGAACGATTCAGTACATTATAAAATGTTTGCTTTTTCATAATTCATTGTATATTGTAATTTTCATTTCTTCTGCTTCTATTAAGTAGTGACACATATACTCAAGTATAATGTTCTTGTAACCGGATTTATTATTAAAAGCTGTTTTTCATTTCTTAATTTATTACATATTGAAAATCCACAGTTGGATAGGTTATCCAAAATAGGCCTAAATACATGCCGATTTTTTTTTGTCGGTATATAAACGCTAATCAATAGTTGTTTTTGCGATAGTGAATTAAGTAGTTCTTAAAAGGCAGATAAGTAATTATAATGTAAGTGAACCAATATGGCCGCTAATAACAACAATATAAGACGGACGAGTTTATTTATTTATAACTTCTTGTTTTCGCGAAAAATCCGATTTGCTAATTTTATGTTTTCTCGACGTTTCAAGTTATTCTGAATCGAATGAGACCAAGTTTGTAAAGACTATTTGTGTGTATGTGAGCCGATATTTTACCTTTCGTCGACATTTTCTCAAAAGCGTCTGGACCGATTTCAAATATTTTAACCCATTCGAGACGGTGATTTTTTTCGAACGCGGTCCCCAGGAGCAAAATTTTTTTTTGCTTATATTGTTCATTTTTAATAAAAAACATGTTAACTACGGAAATCACCCAATTCGTGAGAAATTTTGTATAAATAATATGATTGCACACCGTGTGTGCAACTCGCCCCTCATAATTTTGTTTTTGCGATTGAATACCATGTGTGCAATGTAAGGTAAAATAAAAAAGACGTAATTAAAATTGATTAACATTTATTTTAAAAATAATTAGATAATATAAAATCGTCATGTTGCTTTCAATAATGAGGAACAGAATATAATGCAAAGAAAATGTTTAAGAAATAACAAAAAGTCAAAAAAAATAGGTTGAATAATGAAGAAAATAATATAAACAAGAAATAAATTTTTAGAAAAACGTCTAAAGGGAATAAAGTAATGTAACTCAGTAATGAAAAAGAAAATACAATTTGTAAATATATTTTTAGGAAATAGCACACTGATCTTAAAATAATTATTAGTAGATTTCGAAATTCCAAACAAAATCACCTAACGAACGAATATGAACAAGCAAGAATGTGCGTACCAGAACGAGCGGCAACGAGCATAGTGTGGCGCCACAACGAACATAAACGAACTTAGCGAATAGCGAGCAATTCCTCAACTTGTCGGTACATCAAAGAAAATTGTTCGTTCATGTTTGAACTTGTATGTGCAGTGTGGACGCTGCCAAGAATGTAGACAAACATTTTTATTTTTTGATGTTAATATGAGCAGTCATGCATCAGTTTATGTTGTGACAATTATGTGATATTTCTATTATTGATAAATTTTGTAAATTTGATCACTTTCAATAAATTTTCCCTTTCCCTCCACTTTAAATAATAAAACTGACGTTTCACGGGACATTCTCGAACAAAGATTCAAGCCCTCATTGCTTCAAGTTCATTTGGAATGACGTCTTCTTTGTATTTTCTTGTTCGTCCTGTTCGTTCGTTAAGGTGCGTCCACACCTAACGAACAAACACGAACGAACATGTCGAACAAGAAAATACAAAGAAGAATGAACAGGAACACGAACGAACGCGAAAAATTCCAAACAAACGCCTCAAAGCAGTGAGGGCTTGAATCTTTTTGTTCGAGGATGTACCGTGAAACGTCAGATTTATTATTTAAAGTGGCGGGAGAGAACAAAATTATTTAAAGTCATCAAATTTACAAAATTTGTCAATAACAGCAGTATCTTATAATAAACACAACATAAACTAATGCAGGACTGCACATTTTAATATCAAAAAAGAAAAATGTTTGTCTACATTCGTGGTAGCGTCCACACTGCACATACGAGTTCAAACATGAACGAACAATTCCCTTTAGGTGCGTCCACACCTAACGAATGAACACGAACGAACATGTCGAACAAGAAAATACAAAGAAGAACGAACAGAAACACGAACGAACGCGAAAAATTCCAAACGAACTTGAACAAGCGCTTAAAAGCAGTGAGCGCTTGAATTTTCGTTGTTCGTAGATGTTCCGTGAAACGCCAGTTTTATTATTGATATGGATGTAAGCTTTAATCATACGTCATTTTCACTGGTTTTTGTGTGATTTTTGTTCGTGTATATTTTGTAAATATACTGTAAATAAATTATTCAATTAATTTCACTCAGTTTTTGTATTTAATATTTATATTTTGAGTCGTTTTCTTTCCTCAGCATTCATATTCGGAGCAAGCTGAACATTCCAGGCTTGAGCTAACTATACTCAATTTTCAAACTCTCATCCTCAACATATATGTTGAATGTCTATGTATGATAACAAGTTTAATATTTAATTGTAAAGACTGCAATTTCTTCTTTACTGCAGCTTCTGACATCCCAAACGTTTTGCCTACACTGTCCCAAGCATCGTTTTTTTTCTAATAATTTTATAAAAAGGGTCTTTAGTCTCCCATATTCTAGGAAACTTATCTATTTCATTTATGAATGATAAAATTACGTCATTTGGCCATTCCATAATTTATTCAAAATTTTCAACCAATACAATAATTAAAAGTAAATATTATTAAAATTTTCAAACTGTACACAATAATTAAAAGTAAATATTATTAAATTATTAAAATTATTATTAAATTATTAAAAAAATATTATTAAATTATTAAAATTATTAAAACAAAAATGTTCGTTTGCGTTCGTTGTGACGTCCACACTGCACATACGAGTTCAAACATGAACGAACAATTCCCTTTGATGCACCGACAAGTTGCGGAACATTGCTCGCCATGTTTGTTTATGTTCGTTTGTGATCGTTGTGGCGACCACACTATGCTGTTGCTGTTCGTTCTGGTACGTTCTTTTATGTTCGTTCGTTTTCGTTCGTTAGGTGTGGACGCACCTTTAGTGTGACGCACCTTTATGGGCTCGGAAAGCAATTGCACACAAGGCGTGCAATCCGCCTCGAATGAGCTGAAGCCATTTGATTTATCTCGACAAGGACCATCGGTGGTCAGTTTTGCACGACGTTTTTTGTATTTTTTTAAATTTTAATTACAATCTGTCACACTTAGGACATTCAGTAATTGATTTTTGTAATTAATTAGAAAAGTGTGTAAAATTTTCTGGACACGATCTTGAATCGATTTTTAAAATTCAAAAACTTTTTGAAAAATATTGCTTGCGTTAATTAGTTTCTGGTAAAGACTAGCCGGTTTGTCCTTTGTAATTTGATCTAGAAATGTTTTTATTTCCGATTTTGTTGAAATTTTGTATAACGATAGATTTCGTAGTCTGAGATGACATACTATAATATTATAGGCTTACGATAAGTCATCGAATCATAAAAATTCCTCCAACTTTAGAATTTCGCCCCGTGCTTGAGCGATTTTAATCAGAATCTATGCATTTGAACATTATGTGGTGTTTTGTTGGTAGCTGCTGATTACAGTTGACATCACACTCAAATAAAATACAGTTTCAGAACACGATGCAGATATAAATACAGATATCATAAGTATGTTTCAAGGATATGAATTGAAAATTGTGCCTAAAGAAAGCGAAACTTTTATTTTAGCTAATTCTAATTTTTGGTAATTAACCGGTTCAAAAACCGGTTCTCGTGTTTGTACCGGTTCCGTTCGGAAAGGAAAGAAACAAAAATCATTACAAAACCCATTTCTTTCAAATTTCAAAGTTTTTAAAACACTTAAACATTTTAATTAAAATTTAAATTATGGTATGGGAAGTTTGAGCAATTTGCCTCAAGACACTATGTCTTGCACCACTAGTTTTACGTGTTTTAAATTCTATATTTCGAAAAATATTAGATTTATATATAATGCTAATGTTATTTGCTATGATATAATTTATATTAATAATATTTTGAACTTATTCCCGTAGGGTAAGTTATAATAAACGCAAAAAAGTCGAAAATTAAAAATTGTATATATCCTTATGTTTCAAAACCTTCTGAACATTTTGGCATACCTTAGAAAAAATTTAAGTATGTGTGTATGTGTGTTTCTGTGTGCGCATGTGTGTGTGCAAATACAAATTTTCGTCAACGATTTCGGGAACACGGATCAACCAATTTGAATGATTTAAAAAACATTCGATCCGTATTGATAATAAGGAGATGTGCTGATTAGTTTTTGGCATAGGCTGGCCTAGCCGTTTTGAAGATACTGGGCAAAAAGAACCAAAAATGGTAATTCGTTTTTTTTTTTTATTTATTATTTAATAGACCATCAGAAGACAATGTTTCTATAAGCCTATGTGATAAATTATATTTGGCGTTTAGAGGTCTCCTCTATTGAAGAGATTCTCTGCTAGAATTATTCTATAGCTGTCTGTATATAATTTAATATTGCAGGTCCTTTGGCCATTTCTTCTTGAGTCTTCTCGTTTGAACCATTTTGTTGATGATTTGTATTTCAGCGTTCGAATGAAATTCAGTTTTTGAGAGAACTAAACGTTCGATTTGAATAATTCAAAAACTATGTTACTTATCTTGACTAAACGAAAATCATTATTTTCAGTTCTCGACAATTTTTAATTACGGTACGGGAAGTTTCAGCAATTTGCCTTAAGTAAGATGCCATGTACCACTAGTTACGTGTCAGCCTTTATCCATAATATAATAATAAATTCAGTCAGTTGAATTTCGGCAGCCGAGCGAACAACAGTAGTTGCATAACTTGTTTACATTTGGGTCCGTCGCGTGTCTAGTATGTACTGATTTACTCATTCCTATTAATTTCTAAATGTGAATCTATTGTGATTTTTTGCTAAATTTTCGCCCTTTTGTGGTTAAATATGTCGAACTAGATTATTTTGTTACGTTACGGCTGTTAACCGAACCGGTTATGGATCACGTAAGTAATGAAGTAGGTAATGAACAATTATTATGTTATGCGAAGTTAATTCAAACTTAATGGTACTATTAAATAATAAGTATTAAAATTGATCAGATTTTACAATTTTACTTAATCAATTTTGAATGGCATTAGCCCTTTGAGGAGGGGACGATTCCAAATAAACCGTACCGTGGTGTGGAGCACCTGCGGCCACAGTCATTTAAATTTGCCAAACGCAAATATTTTTGGCACTCCAACTCAAATTCTGGACATATATATTTATATATATATATATATATATATATGTATAGATTTTCTACAGGATAAATAAAATGTTGATTTGTTTATAAACTATTAAGTTTAGTGTATTAACATTAAGTTCCTCGGCCATCGACATGTATTTAAGTGGGACACATATATGCGTTTCACGGATTTAGTAACTGCATCAAACGCATAGATGAGTTCTTTGGCCAGTTTGATGATTTGCTTAAAATGCATATATGCGGCGCCCGTCCTCAAAGGGTTATAATATTTTTACCAAATGTTGGAGACACTTACAACTTCTTGTAAGTTGTATTCTCGACTGTTAAAGACGTGTATATGGTGATAATATGTACTATAAATGTGAGCATATATAAATACATTTAAAACATACAGTTATGGGGCAATTCTATTGTAACAGAGCTCATAAAATAGCGTTGTCACGGTAACGCTCTCTTATGCTTGTTCCCAGTATTAAAAATTATGAAAATGCCTTTCTATTTGCCGTGCGATCAGGCTTATTTCACATATAAACAAGCAAGTTCAGTGGCAACATAACAACACAAGTAAATATGCATTAACCTAAACGAAAACGTTACATATTGCTACTTGGAGATATGTTAAAATAATTTAACTAAATATGAAATGTATTTATAAAATTATTTAATACGAAAAATAATAACCTGACATCTCAAAGGACAAACCATAACTTTGTTATGAAGAGTTAGTCTTGTATATTGACACCCTAAAGTTGTCTCAAAACCTACATATTTATAGAATACATATAGAATTTAAACAAATCCTTATGACCTATTTTAAGCGTGTCAATAGGTGAAAAGAATCCATTCTATCATTTTTTTGTTGTATGATCACTGTGAAGATCTGCATCATTAGATGCAGGTCTTGGATTTATTTTTTTCTACTTCATGAACAATCGTCAAAACATGACACAACTTGTCAAAATTGAATTTGTATTACGCAATCATTAAATTATGATGGTGAAACAGGAAAAAACTTACCGACTCCTCTATTACTGGTATGGCAATTTCATTCCATGAACGACCATTTTCGCCTCTAACTAATGTGCATGGTATTCCTAATTTGTCGCTAAGAACCTAGATAAAATAAAAATTGAATTATAACTTAGTATAAAAAGTAAATTTAAAAGAAAAAGGAAAAGTATATTTTACGGTATTGACTATAAGTATAATTAAAATTCGGACTAGTACCTACCTTAAATAATAAGGAACGTTCCAGCATCGCTCCCAAGCGTAAGTAACCCAACGGTATTATAGAAGTTTGCAATTCGTGCTGCGAAATAAATTTATTTGAAACATTTTTAAATAATTAATATTGGCATTAAATATTAATATTAAAAGTGACTACGTAATCATATTCTATAATACAAACTATTAATAATTATACATAATTGGAGCTATTTATGCGTTATTAAAATATATATTTTCTCAACTGTCTGCGCATTTTATATGGTCTAATTTGTGAACTCATCAAATAAGTTCTGTTTTGTTGAAGCAAAGTGATAGTATGGAAGTTCATAATATACCTTTTGTGTGCCTACACCTTACATATGCAATATAATGAATGCTTTCGCAATTATATTTGTTTTTAACTTTCCGTAGGGTAAGTTATTATAATCGTCCAAAAATCACAATTGAAATTTTTTGCATTTCTTCACGTTTTGAAGGTTTCTGAACATTTTGGCATAACTTAGAAAAAATGGATGTGTGTGTGTATGTATGTATGTATGTATGTATGTATGTATGTATGTGATAATAATAATAATGGATAGTACTGCCCTGTGGCAGATCTGTGAGCTGTGTTAAACTCGAACTCGAATCAGGGAAGAAGTAGTGTGAGAGTTTTTCCATTTCCATGTATGTATGTATGGATACAATTTTTCGTTCATGTTTTCAGGCGCACGGATCAACTGATTTGAATGGTTTAAAAAACATTCGATTTCTATTGATAGGGAGTTGTGCTGCATAGTTTTTGGCAGAAATAGGTTCGGCCATTTTGGAGATACGGAGCAAAGAGTACAGAAGATAGTAATTAAGTTTTTGAGAGAACGGAGCATCCGATTTGAATGATCCAAAAAAACATTCAATTTGTAATGACGGGGAGAAGTGGTGATTGATTTTTGGCAAAGGCAGGCCGTTTCGGAGATACCGAGCTAAATGTGCTAAGAATGGTAGTTCTTGAAAGAACTAAGCATCCGATTTGAATGATTCAAAAAACTTCCTGCTTGTGTTGACCAAGCGATTGATTTTGTTTTTTTTTTAATCTCAAAAAAAATTTCAATATTGTAAATAATTCGATTTTTAGTTTTAATTCTAGCTAAAGTTCTACAGCTCACTTATATACTTCAAATAATTGATTTTAACTTTCCTATTCAGTTTATATAATTCTTATAGATATTAGACTATGTCCTTAATTTTAATTTCAATGGATTAAATTTTGTTTATTTACTTTTCTGTAAAGATATATAAGTTATAGTATTTATAATATTCATTTGAAAACATTTATTATTCCTCGAATATTTCATTACGGTACGGGTAAGTTCCAGCTATTTGCCTTAAGGCACGATGCCATACACCACTAGTTAATCATGCATTCGTGCATGAACTTGAAACTTCAGTTATTCGGTGAGTTACAATACAAGCGATTAGTTGTTTCTAAATATTAGGTTGTCAAATATATATTTGACAACCTATTATATATACATACTCGAAGTTAGTGCTAAATAACTCTAAAATTAAATTTTGTACCTTTAGATTGGTCAGGTGCATTTCCAGCAATGGGCTACTGCATGCCCCTTTGGGAGTTGGTCCACTCAGCCGTGCGTGGACAAAATGAGCTACTATCTAAAAATAATAATTAATTGAAAAATATGTTGTTGGCGGCAATTTGTAATTTTTTTCTTTTATTAAAATTAAACCTATAATTTTTTCGTGTCTTGAAATACATAGAATTCAATGTTAGGTTAGTAATTCAATAATTATGTTATATCTTGTAAATAATAACACTATATCAATTATAATTGTAATTGAATTTTACCATTTCTTTTGCATTTCGCATTTTATAAGATTAGTACCTTTGCACGTATTGGTATTGTAGAAGCGAAGATCATTCCGTTTTTGAATGACGAAGATGATCTACAAATAAAACAATTTATATGATTATATGCATAAATGATAATATATGCGTTAAGCGGGGCATTACTATATATATATGCGTGTGTGTGTGATATGAATATATATATACATACATAATCATATATATGAATGGAACCCCCTTACCCGTTCGTAATATTCCATTGCATGAATTTTCTTCTGATCTTGTTCAAATACATCTGAATATGTGGATCAGATGGTTGTTTCCATTCGATAATAGAAGGTGGTGCCATTTTCACCAATGAAGTAGATGCGACATCATCTGCCGATGCATTTTCGCCTTGTAATGTACTTGCCTGTACGTTTTTCTCTAACGTTGGTCGTTTTGCTGCCCTAGCACCATCGGCTGACGCTACCAAATTTTTATGAAATTAGATTGACAATGTTTATAAATTAATGGTTTTTAGAAAAATATTGTTTAGTTTAAATCGATTAAAGCTAGGGGTGTTTTATCAGAAATGACAGGTTTCATGCCCGTCTCGAATAGCTTAATGTCAAGCTGTGTAACATCAATTTTCACATGCAAATATAGAAGCAGTATGTTTCCAAGTGAAAATAGTTCTCGCCGGCATTTCTGCATCCCACAAAAATTGATCAATATTAGAATTATTATATTTGTTTAATTTTGATACCTTTAGAGCCATTACTTCTTTTGCGAGAGGGTCTAGATATTTTTAAAGCTTCTTGAAATTCCGCCATCAGTATATCTGGCAATGTAATTTCTTCAACTAGGTAAATTATTTGCTTAGGACAGGCGTTTTCTATGCTTAGTATTTCTTCTAGAAGCGGAAACGATATCCAGGGTTTTCTCATTAGATAAAATTTACCTCTGAAAGATGAACCATTAGTTTTAGATTTCTTAGTTGTAGTACCTATAGTAATAGTAGTAATTGTAGTACGCAAACATTTACAAGATTATAACAGATGGTTTTTAACTTAACGCCCCACTAGTTTATTTATTAAAAATTAACTAAATTTAACGACAGATTGAACAACTTCATTCTGGCTTGCAGGCGAACAACTTTATTCTGTACATCTAAAGTTGAATATATTTATTCTTGCATTAGTAATTTTTATTTTATATTTATTCTAAATTTAAATGATACCGACCTGATGACGTCTGATATTTCTAGTTTTCCTGTATACGCAAACTTAGCAGGAAGATGGTTGTTAAGAATCACTTCAATCGCTGATTCCCAAATTGGGCATGCTTTACGCATTGCTGCATCATCTAAGAGGCTGCGTTAAATATTTTTTATTAAGTTATTGTTAAGTAATCAAATTATAACAAATAAATACATAAATATTTTATTTCAGAACCCATTGCTTAATTTTGATAATTTCAAATCATAATGTAATGATAAATTATAATAAAGTTTAATAAATAACTTAAAATGAATTTTACAAGTCAAGGAGCTAAATATATTGTTCTTATTGCTCTGCAACAATATAAGCTTAGAAAAGATCTCTAAATCTAACTTAACTAAGACAAAATACGAAAAAGCAAGGAAAAGGAAAATTCAATACGAGAACAAAATAATTCTTGTTAACTTTGTATAAGAAATTAGGTTTTGTTATATATTGTTATATTTATAAACTTTGTTTAAATGATTATGTTGATTTTTGTCAAATATCTCTGACAATAAAAGTCGTTATAAACTATTTTTGTGTTTATAGCTATTGTTTTTTAACCTATTTTTGTCTGTCACAACCGTCCTTGGGGTGTGGTCAGTCGTGACACTCGCCCTTTTCTTGTATGATTTGATTCTATGACTCCATCGTATTTAAGAATGAATTATCTTATGAATCCATCGAATTTAAGGACAGCATTTCAGTATTTTCATGTTGACAAGTGTTCAAATTGAAATAAAATGATTTGATCGCGACATATGTTAATAAACTAAATGAGCCGCTCAGTGCACATATGGACTAACTCCACTTTTTGGAAAAACTGAGATATTTGTGCGAAAGTATTTGGTACAGTCATAACTTTTTGTGATTATAATAACTTTCCGGAATAATAAAAATTAGCACTGTAAAGCAGAATTTTTTTTGACCACTGAATAATGTCATTTATTTCAGAATACATTTTGAACACCGTTCTGTAGTGTGCATATGTTCCGGCTGGGAAGGATTTCGAACTTATGAATTACAGATAAGAATTTAATAAGACTATAAACCATATAATTATTTGCAAAGAACTGTAGAGTCTCGTGGATCTCAATAAATTTCATCTTGTTTTATAAAGGACATCAAGGATGTTAAAAACTTTGAAAAAATAACATACTAAAATTCGTGTGCCCGGCTAAACAGGGATATTAAAACTTTCTTAAGTTTATTGAAACTTGAAAATAAAATTTCTGGTCAGTGATAAAAAGCTATTTACCTATTAACTCAAGATTTTGTCATTATTGAGTCACGTGCGAAAAAAAATCGAGATTTTTTTCACTAGATGCAATAGTGCAATATAATAAGTAGAAAGAAAGCGTTATTTTAGCTAATCCAAATGTTCCACCAAGATTTTTTTTATCAACAAAGCCATTGAACAATCACTAAAAGAAAAGTAGTCATCACAGTGTGCCCAGTAAAATGGTTTAAAATGCGATGGATAAATTTAGAAAGTCCATACCCAATCTCATACAATTTAAATGTGACTATAATAAAGATACGGATTTTAAAGTTATTAATATAATAAAGTCGGTGATAGGTACACCGAAATGTTTAAATAATATATATTAGTCATTATTATATTCAAAAGTTAGAACTTTGACAAAGGTAAATTGAGAGACATGAAGGACTTGCTAAAATTCATTCCCCCCGTTAATCATGAATCCTACAAATCGTAGAAAAACTTGACAGATGAGTCTAACCATCACAGAATACATCTGATGAATAAAATATTATTTTTAATATTACTGATTAATCACAGATAATATATTATGGCAGTTAACATTTATTTTTATGAAAAAGCTTTACCACAAATATATAAGAATCAGGTTTATTACTTTTTTCAGTTGAGAACTTGAACTCCACAAGTCAATTGAAAATTTTGACTTTAATGATAATTATTTACTCACTATTAATAGTTTTAAACCTTATATACCGTTAATTGTAAGCTATATATTTATACGTTCTACATTATATTTTTCAATTTATATTATAACAGGAATTTTTAAAAGCAATATACATTACTTCATCGCTTTTCTCCACTTTCTGATTTTTGGAGTTAGTCACTGTGTGCACTGAACGGCTTAAATATATGTTAGTGTAAATATTAATAACTTGTTAATTTTAAATTTTTTACCATTGCAGAACGGAACTGCTTATAAATCGTTGTGCCACTTGCGGATCTTCAGCTGCTTGGCGAACAACGGCAGCTGCAGATACTTTCAACCGACTGCTATCATCTCGTAGACAATCACTCGCTATCGACAACGACTGGGCGGTATCAGGAAGCCACCTCCGCATGTTTTCCTCGCAAAGGTACATTGTTAAACATTCGCATGATTTCACTCTTAAATCCGTTCTTCTGGCTGGTCCACGCTGTTCGTATTATTTGATTTTTTATTTGAACTATTTTATGTTTTTATAAATTGCTTAAAGATAGAGGGCGCTAATATATAAAATATATTAGTCTGTCATCAGGGGATATAAGATAGCGGGATTTATGTATTTTGGCGCCTTTATTGTAAAACTTGATTTTTCTTTCAAAATTCACATTCGTTTAACCCTCCGTCGGGCGCAGTCGAAATATGTACAGAATCGGGCGCAGTGTATCTGACAGATACAGATTATAAGTATATTGGCAGGAAGCTTATAGTTTTATATATTTTTATTTAATTTGCGATTTTACAATGCTGAATATTTATATTATGTGTAAACAAAAACAAAATATATATTAGATCAATATTAATTTTATAATATAGCAAAATATAAAAATCCGTACGTGCGCTCAAAATGCTAGACACACAAAACCTTACTTTTTCTGAAATGAATAATTTAATTAATTATATAAAAACAATTGTCAGATTCTATTGGAATGTTTATACAAAGACTATATAAACAATTAGGACAGTAAAAACTTAGCGTTTTTTGTTATTTTGTACGACAAATAGAATTTGGCTTAGTGCGTTTTTTTTTAACAAAATTGCTACTAGCAAAATATGCGAAGTTCAAAGACAATCTAATATGGACGAATAAATAGTAGACATAAAATAACGAGGCTACTGAGATATGAAGATTTCGATGACATAAAATTATGGAGAAACATGCTAAAATGTTGGCCCTGTATCTGTCAGATCAGCTGCGCCCGACGGAGGGTTAATTCAAACATTAGTTGCAGATGTCGTTATTTCAAACTGAACGGTTTATAACGTACTTATAATATAGATATGTCATATTGGTAAATATAAATTTACTAATGGTTTATTTAGTCGAAAAGCCATCAATTTTGGCCGAGAAGTTCATGAATAAATCACATTTTTTTAAAGTGAAATACTATTGTCGCATGAAATTATGGTATTGAAAACTATATACTATTTTCTTCCCGACAAACTTCAACGAAAAGTTTAATAGTTTATCAGTAATAATAAATCATTGTGATGTATAATTAATTGGCGTATCTTTCTTAAGAAGTTCTATGTAAAAGATTAATAACATGAGTAAAAATATTCATTTGCGATTCAATTTTTATCTAACGGAATAGGTCTGCAACTTGATTATGGTCAAAATGCCATTTTAGGGCTCTTATTATTATTATTATTATTATTTTGAAAAGCACTTTAAGCAATAGTTACTTTCTTTAAAAAAATAAATTACCAAAAATTATTGATCAAGGTTTGGTAACGACTCGTTGCACTTTTCGATTGACTTATTTTTGGCTGCTAAAAAAGCGAATACATAAGTCAGGAATTCAAATTCACAAATTTAAAAAAGAAACTATTGCTCAAAGTGCTTTCTAAAATAACTAGAGCCCTGAAAGATTGCGTTTTGACTATAATCAAATTGTCACAAAAAAATTCATATTCACAAATAAATATTTTATACAGAAATATTTATTAATTAATATTGCAAATATTGTTATATATTGCAAATTGGTATGTACACTACTGGTAGATTGAAAACAAAAGCAAAATATGTATTAATTTTTTGTTTTTCGAATCGAAGTTATTTCTCTATTCGAAGAAATTCTTACTATTTTTATGTCGTGAAAATGTATATTACTTTATTGAAGAAGAATACTATCATAATATGAATACTATCATAATATGTATTGTATTTATTATTATATTATATTGTTTATTTCTATACCTTCATGTTGGATAGCAATGCCTCCAGTATGCGTGGATTTATTATTATCGCTCGAGTATTAGGGTGCTTAGCGAGAATGTGTAGCATTTCGGTCAGTATCGTAAGCATAACAATTGGTATGGTGGTGCATGGTAGTAATAATATATCACAAATCTTATTCTGAAAATAACGGAAAATTGATCCTTAAAAAAACTGGATAAACTCACGCTGTTTGGAAATTATGAATTTTTAAGTGCATCCTAGAGCTTTGATGAAGCCTAGAGCTTTTGATTATTGTTATTAATTTTTACTAATTTTGTCCATTTATGACTTTTGAACCGTAACCGTGAATAACATTTACGTCATCACAATAAAGAACAATAACACATTTCTTCCAAGCCTTCAAGAATTAAGACTTTTTTTGAACTATGAATTTATATGGTTTACTTTGAGACTCTTCTTTAAAATTCTTTTTTTTAATAATAACTTTAGTACATTTTTTTAAAGGAAAGCCTTTCAAAGACCGATTTCAAAATTATTAAATTCGTAGTTTAACAAAAGGTCTTTATTTTTGAAAACTTTGGCAATTGTGTTTTTTTTATTGTGGCACTAGAAATATTATTCAAGGTTACGGTTCCAAAGTTTAAATAAACAAAATTTAAAAAAAATGACTCAAAATAACTGAAAAATAGTCATAATTTCACAAAAGTTTTAGGTTGCACTTAAATGCTCATAATTTCTGAACAACGTGAAATTTTTTTTTCCAATTTTTTTTTTAAGGACAGTTAAGGTCAATAATATCACTCCGTTTCGGCTTGACTTTAAGGTCTGGGACACCTAGTATATATATATTGATATAATATGGAATATATGTATAAATAAAATATCTTACATGTCCATGGAAATATGCTGCCTTTTTACATGCTTGCACGTTATTTTCTAGTATTTTATTTAATGATTCAGCGATAGTTTCCCGAACACCCCACGAGAGTGTAGAATTATTTAGTGCATCTAAAAAATATAATTCACAATTAAATTAATTTATGTATTGAAATATTGAAGAAATAGGGAATTAAGATATTGTATTTGATATATATATATATATATATATATAGTTTTCTATACAAATACTCGTATATATGAACATCGTGCTCTTCTATAAAGATGTGACTTATATGTATGTATTTTTTACGTTTATGCAAAGTGTCGGTAAATAATGTTACAATTAAAATACTCAAAAGTCTACCTTTATAACTGTATTTATTTTTTAACGAATCATTCGAAAAAAATATACACTCTACTTTTATCACTCATATAATAAATTGATTGCAAAAATGCAGGAATAACATATGGACAGTCTTTGAATCAATTTCAAACGTTATATAATCTTATCATAATTAATTCTTGTGGCTTATGGAAAACACTTTCCTAAACTATTATTTTTTATCTATAAAATCTAAAGAAATACGTTATCAATCGACTTGATGATTATTTAAAGCAAGAAAGAGTTATGATTGAATGGGGCATGATTTGAATGTTAGTTGATTAAATATAATTACCATACATTTCGTATAAAGCATTACTGTTAACAATTTGGTATGATGCTGGTCTTTCTACGGACATGTTTGCCAATCCATTGCAGGCGACTGCAAACAGTGAGCCACCATCCATCGAAGAATTATTGTCGGTGAGCACATTTATCATTTGCTCGGTGGCATGTAAGTTCAATAATTCCTGGAAATTGTTGAGAACTTAATTTTTTATTGCTTTTTATGATATATTCTGAGTGAATTTGAGTATATTCAGAAACATTTATTTTTATTTTTAGTTGCACTAATTATTGTACCTCCGTGTTTGAATTAATATTTGACATGGTCAGGTCACTCACAAAACTAAAATTTTGGTTTTGGTACACTATCATATATTGTTTTTGAAATATAGTCTAATATATGTGATTGACGCTCTAATATTGATTTTATTATTTCCTATTCTATAAAAAATCTGATGTTTTTTAAATTTTATTTGATTATCAAAAACATTTTTTCATACAGTAATTAGTACCTAGCTTATAATATTATCCTATAAATTATTATATAATATTATCATTCAGTTTATAATATCTTTGAGGACGAGCGCCTCATATATGCATTATACGCAAATCATCAAACTGGCCGAAGAATTCATATATGCGTTTGTTGGTGAAGGCAGTCAAAAAAATTGAATAAGTTGATTAAACGATAAGAAAAACAATAATTTACTAATTTGCAGAGATATTAATCGGTTAATTGTTTCTACTGATATCACATTGCAATTTGTATATGTTTTTTGTTTCTTTGTATCCGTTAGTATATATATTAGGGTGGTCCTTAACAAGGACATTTTCGAATTTCTTTGCTCTCAAGCGCCAATGCTTCCAAATAAATAAAAAATAAATCTGTAATAGTATTAACTCTTAATATAAACATTTAGATAAAGCACACGCCAATTGAAAGTTTCTTATATTTGTTATTAACATATGCCATTAAGTAAATTTTTGCGCCATCTATCGTGAACTCAAGTATTATGACATATAAGAATATTTATGAACCACTTAACCTCTAATTAAATTCTATTCATCATGGAATCAAGATTAAATTTGCAGCAAAATATTTATTTAATTGGTGATGTTGAAACTCACATTATTATCTTGATTCCATGATAAATAAATATTATAGAACAGCCCACAGGGTTTTATATATATATATATATATATATATATATATATATATATATATATCTTGATAGTTTTTTCGACGTTGAAACATATTTCAAAGTAACTAGCAGCCCATTCGTCGAAATAAAAAAGGTATAAAGTGTAAATACTTTTATTTATACGTTTCGACACAAGATGCGTGTCATCATTCAGCAACACAGGACAAAAACACTCAACAAAAATTTATTTTAAAAAATTAAACTTAATAACATATTAGAGAAAAACATTTTTTTAGAAAGAATTATGAATAACTAAAAGATTTGAAACTAATTTGACTAAAAGTTATAAAATACATAATTGTGAGACGAGAAACACGCCCATACCGAGCATCCAGACTCGACTGGAATGTTTTTCTCTAATATGTTATTAAGTTTAGTTTTTTAAAATAAATTTTTGTTGAGTGTTTTTGTCCTGTGTTGCTGAATGATGACACGCATCTTGTGTCGAAACGTATAAATAAAAGTATTTACACTTTATACCTTTTTTATTTCGACGAATGGGCTGCTAGTTACTTTGAAATATATATATATATATACATACATATAATAGATATATATACATAATATATATATATATATATATATATATATATATAACGTTAATTTTATTGATAACTGTTGGATCGATATAAATTTGTTAAAAAAATAAACGGCAAAGATTTTGTTTTTAAAGAACATTTTCACGGGGTTTAAGAAACACTTTATGTTTACTATATCCGTTTTTCAAATTTTAGTTAACTTAAATTACCTTGCGCCCAGATTCTATTTCAGCCAGGTTGGCCATCGCTTGTAAAGCAGAAATGCGCATTTCTCCTGCGGCGTCTTCGAAGTAAGCTACGATACGAGGTGTTTGTTGTTCCGATACTATTATTTCGGCTATATGATTATCTTCGCAGGCGGCACTAATGCCACTTAAGGCTGCTGCGTGTAGATCTAACAAATTATAGTCCTAAAAAAATCGTTTGTAAAAATTTAAATGTTATACTTTATTTTTATTTGTAAAATTAGCAATCATAGCAGTTAGAGATCATAGTTTATAATCAAAAAGCGAGAAGATTACAAAAAAATCGTAGCAATACACTAATACCGAGGTATCCAACCTGTGAGGCCCCCTTGGATGGGCACAAGGCTGTCCAAGGCGGGCGTACAGCTACTTTCTAAGCACATTTTCGAAAATATACTAAAATGTTAAAATGATAAAAAAATGAATGAATAATTATTTTTATACTCGTATATACTCTTACATAATTCTGCATATTAATTTGTAACATGATAAATAAATTATAAGTTTTTACAATTTTTTTTAAAGAAACAGGAGGTAGCGGTACTACAATGCTGGAAACCACTGCACTAACGTCACGTTTTCATAACAGTTATTGTTTTTGTACAAGCAAATAAGTAATTAAGCTGGTTTGTTTTACCGATTTGTTTTATTTGAGAGTAAGCAACACGCAATGAATGATATTTCTAACATAAATTAAGTCATTCAATTTAAATTATTAAACCATACAAATAATAAGTAATTTCTATTGATTTTATTTTTGAAGAAAAAATTAAATAAATTTTACTTCGAAAAGTTAATAATATCTGGTTAGTCTTGACAAAGCCTTAACTTCAACTTTTGCAGACCTAAAAATTTTTAGGCAAGCCCTTGAATACCAAAAATTAATTTGTACTTGATATGCTTATGATCTACTATTGGCTTGTATTTTTTAATATAACACGAAAAAAACAGAATATTTTTCTCTAAAAGTTTTTGTATTTTGAAAGCTTATTATTATTAAAAATGGCCTAATATTAGTTTGTGTTTAAATACTACCTATTGAGAACTTGCTCCTAAATCTCGCTATGAAACTTCGTTTTTCTACGTGATAATGGCGAATTAAAATAATAAATGAAACAATACAAAATTCACTACATGAATCTACAATTTTAATTTGCAAACTAATAATTGTTAAATAACTTTGCAAAAAACTAAAAATAAATACTCAAATAATTATAATACTTTCTTAAAGTTTCGATAATTTCAATAGAATATTATGAGACAATGCATGTGACTGTAATGGTTGTTTCTTTAGACCTAAACGTCTTGTTCGAACTCGATGTTTCTGCTAATCGTTGATTATATAAAATATTTGTAAACAATGAAATTTGAGCACTCACTTCAAGGATATCGAGCAAGCGTTGTATAGTATTGCTTTCGACTAACAATCGGTGCATGTTTTCATCGCTCGCTTTTCTTATAACAATATTCAGTATCTCCAAAGCCAATTTTTGGATAGAGATAAAGTCACTGTTTGTAAAATGCACAATTTCAAAGAGCGAGACGTCGCGGTGTTTTATAAACTTTTGCATTCCCAGTATGTCGTTCAACACATTTCTTAAAAGCTAGAAAAAATGTCATGCGTATAGTTCATACATACACATAAAATAGTAAACAAAAGTTGTTATATAGGCATCCATTTAATTATCAAAGAGATTATACTAAGTTATCTTTGAAAAATTGTAATAAGTCTTATATTGCAAAAGTTTCGCGTATGAATTGACTTATATTATTTAATCATACAAGCATAAACACACAGTTAAAATTTCTAAACAATGATTAAAAGACGTGTTCGTTGTAACAGTCACATTTATAAGACAGAAATATGTTTTTGGAAAAATTAAAATAAAATAAAATATTAACAATCATATTTAAATAAAACTAAAAGATTTAAATAAAACTATGATAAATATTTTGAACATAATTTTCAATTAGTTTTCTTTTCAATAATTGGATGGATGCCTATACTTACACAAACTTTTTTGTATGCCTTTTACCACCTCAAATATATATATATATATATATATATATATATACAGGGCCGGATTTAGAAATTTGGCGCCCTGGGGCACTGACAAAAATGCCGCCCCATCCGAGGATTTTTACTTAAATGGTTTTTATATAAAAATTCATTTTAAATTCATTTAAAATTCATTACGCATTACATACTATAAATAGAGGTGTTTGGCATCGCGCCTTAAGGCAAATTGCTGAAACTTCCCGTACCGAAAATTAAAATTAAAAAAAAAAGTTAAAATATTTAAAACTTTGAAAAAATTTGACTTTTTTGAAAAATTTGAGTTTTTTTCATACTTTTTTTAAAGCGATCGTGCTGCTTTCGCTGCGTGGAGTCAAAATATAGAAGCGCGTAAGCGCCGCGTTGCAGTATAACGGATAAACAATGTTACAGAACTCATAGAAATGTAAACAAAATTTATACTTATTATTAAAATATCTGATAATTTAATGTTCCTTTGTCTAATGATCACTTTTGACCGCCAAATGTTTTTTCAAATATCGAAATTTTTTTATTGGATCACCGAAACCGCTTGAATTGCCTCCCACAAATTTAAGCAGTTCTTCATTTTGTCATTTCATTTTTAATGATAGTGGACGTACCGTTTCTCAAAAAGTGAATTATCATTTTTGGCATTTCGGCCTGTATTTTCGAAAAAGTTGTACTTGCCTTGGTCAATAACCAATCAGCACGTCTCGTTATCAATAAATAAAAGTTCATAATTTTCGAAAACACTCAAAATATAAAAGAAGGTTTTTTAAATTCAATTTTTTTTTTCATTTTTCAAAAAATTTTAAAGCTCTTTATAAAATGTAATTTTCAGTACGGAAAGTTTCGGAAACTTACCTTAAGGCACAATGCCATGCGTCACAAGTTTAATTTTTTTTTTTTGAGCTATGAGCTTGGAAGTGCACAAGTTCGTCATCTTAAGAGTGCTCGAGATCTGAAGGACATATTTTTCTTCAACTTTCCGCTCGTTTACGAATCTTTTTATTAGCAAAATTGCCAAATTTTGCATTGCAATCGTATTATGTTTTGATAATTATATTTCTTGAATAAACAATGTTATTAAGAAAATGAGTTAATTATATTATACAGATTTTTTTTTTCACTATCCAAATTTTGCCGCCCCCGAAAATTTGCCGCCCTGGGCAGTAGCCCCGACTGCCCCTACTGTAAATCCAGCACTGTATATATATATATATATATATATATATATAATAAATTATAAAACTTTATTTGTTCTATTCGTTAGTCTTCAGTTATTAAATATTAAACTTTTAATCATGTGCTTATATTTTTGAAGCTTAATCATACATTTTGATCATTTTGTGAAAATATAATGATGATTGTACTAACTTCTAATGTATTTCTTTGAACGTCTGCATCTGTAGAATTTATCCTTCTGAAAATGGTTGCAATTACATCTTGTTTCAATAGTAAATCGCAACCACGAATGTCACGGGTTAATTCGCCCAGTATTCCAGCAGCATATTCTTGTATGTGCAAGTCTTCATTCTGTGTATACATATATTACAGGGAAAATACGAACAAAATGGAATATATGGACAAAATGACACAGTAGTAGCCGTATTTAAAAATTGGCTAGTTCTAGTAACGTTTCCGCAACTGCATATTATGGAAACAACATAACCTCAACCTTGTCAGATGTTGACCGGCATTGCCACAGACTTGTCGCAATAATCTGTTCAAACGTGTATCGCGATTTCAAAAGTTCATTTTGAAGGTGGTTTTGTTTTATTTTTTTGGGACTTATTCATTCTTAATTGTAATTATTTCTATTAAAATCAAAGAACTTACGCAAGCACTAGTAATTTCGATCAATTTTTAACTTTTGGGCAAAATGACATACTTATTCAATGAAAAACATAGTTTTTTTTTCAAGCACTACAGGGTAGATCATTTGAAGCCAAGAGAAAAGAAAACTGGTGGTGATTGCCTTCTAACTTCAATTCTATTCTAACTACTTCTGAAGAAGAAACTTGCAAAGACCTATTATCCCGTTTTGTGTCTGATGAAAGTTGGTTGCGCTGATTTGTTACCTTTGGGCTAATGCTTTATGTGCTAATGACCCAAAGAGGACCAAACAATTTATTTATGAACTTTGTGTGCCCTTTCTCTACGTGTCATTTTGTACGTACTATATGGACAAAGTGGTTATTGTAATTGGTACCATTTTTCTTTAATGAATATGTTATTCTTGTTTTTAGTAAATTAAAAGACTACGTTACTGGTAGTCAGTGAACCAAATGTCAGTAAAAATAATTGAGACTGGTTATAATGTCATTAAATAAGTAAATATCAGAAAAAAAACAAAACACCATGCCATTTTGTTCATACTTTTCCTACATATTAAATTATAAAAAAAATGGTTTAACAATTAAAGAAATAGCTAATATAGTATATGTATTGATTCTAATGATGCATTATTTAAGTAATATATCATGATGATAAATGCATTTAAAATATACCAACCGAATTGTACTCATTGTGATAGAATTTCGTATCGGTGAAATTTAGAAGATTTTCTTTAACATGTTCGATTTTAGATAGCTGCTGCATTAACTTTATGCTAAATCTTTTAATACAAATGTTGTCATGAACGAGTAATGGCGGTAGAGGTTGGAGCACATAATTTCTCAAAAGCATATGGCATGCTTGTTCACCCTTCATTGCGTGTTTGTCTATAGAACATATAGCCTGAAATATGAAAAGCAATAATTTTCATTTAAACTATACTAGGCAGTATTTCACAAAATGATTAAATTTATTCAAATGTTATGATTGATAGCCTGAATATGTAGTGTCATCGGCATAATACTAACTTTGATTCGCACTGCAAATTATTGGTACACTTTATTTGGTTAATATAGCGCATTGTTTATGATATTTTTAGTAATTTTTATTTCAAGTCATTAACTTATCTATGCCTATTTATTTTATTTATAACTATATTTAATTTATGGCGATGCAATTCATACATTTAGATTTTCATTATTAGATAAAAATTTATTTACAAATAAAAATAGTCGACTCTGGCCCTGTGGTGTAATCTCTCTCTCTCTCCTTTCGGATAGATTCCTTTATTTTATTTATTGCGCCAACTAGTTATATTTTAATTACTTTATTCAAATTAGTCGCAATTGTATTCAATAAGACTAAACATTTATTAGATCTTATTATTATTATAAATATTATTGTATTATATTTACATTATTGTTTGTGCTGATCATAATTGTATTAAAACTGCTTATTTTATGGCTTATTGTCTCTATAGATTAGAACGTTTGCTTGACTTCGTTCAATTAATATTTGAATTATTAATTAATATTTTGAAACATATTTATATTAACAGGTGTTGCGGATATATAAGCCAGTTTACAGTGATTTATCATTTATTAATAGTAATAATAATATAGCCCATTAAACTTACATGAATCACATTGTACATTGTTTTTTTTTATTTTTATATAAATTCATAAAATGGGATGCGAACGGGCTCAAAACATAAATTGATTGAGATTTTTTTAAAATGTGTAATATTATTAAAATTATAAACCATGTAAACGGATCTAAACAATTTCGAAAATCTAAAACGAATCAAATAAGATTCATAAAATTTTAAATGTCACATGCTATATTTTTTAATAGTAGAAAACATTCACCATGAATTGTATTTTAATGTTGGAAAATTATTTAAGCCTTGACTATGCAATTATTATAAAACTAATAGCTGGTTGTACCTGCAACACTATTTTTTCCTCAGGGGAATCTAACATCAAAATTACGGTTCTACAGTTTTCAGCTAAAATAGCTATTGGATCGTATTGGTTTATAACTTCTTCCGAATTCCGATCTACTCGCTCTTTACTAATTAATTTACTCTTAGTTTTACTGGAACTTTCAGTCATTTTAAAATATTTTTTATAAAATCTTAATAAAAAAAGTCAAAATGAATAATTTGTTTTAGAATTTATGATTTTGTTTTTGATTTACTAATACAGCCTACTAAGAAACAAACCCAAACATTTGAAGTGTCAATGTATTTGACATTTCTAATCAATTTTGTTTTAACTTTACAATTAATAAGGCTTAGCTAAATTTAATCAAAATACGATAATAAAACCCAGCATATAATTAATTCGATTCAATTTTTTTTATCTTATTTATTTATGCTATGTCATTGCTATATAAATATTATAAAAATTTATGTAAATTATAACTTTAATAACAATTTAGGAACATTCACACTGAAAAAAAAATGCGCTGAACTTCAGTATATATATTTAGACAAATATCAATTTAAATAATATGTTATATATCATACATGTAAGGCAATAATACATAATTTAATTAACGCATTAAATTTAACTATGTAAATTATGTAATTTGATTTATCTACAATGTTTTTTACATAATATATTTAGAAATTCATGGAAAAATTTATTAAATAGTTAAATATATTTCAATGGAAAGCTGTGCTTTGCTTTAGCATATTTATAAATATCTATAATTATTTATCATAGATAATTTCTCAGAGATCATTGTTAATCATTTATTCTTGTATTACGTCAATATAATATAAATTACAAATTTAGGTACGATAACTTACAAGTTACTATAATTCAATTATGTATTTAAATTTAAAATAATATATATATATATATACAAATCATTTAACACCATTGCAAGTTCAGCGTAATCATTCTTCTTACTGCATAATATGGTTTATTATTCCATACATATCAGTTTGAGACATGCTGATATTTTTTTTAACTTATCTCCTATTATTTTCAGCAAAATCCACTACTTTTTGATTTTTCAAAATAAATATATTCCTGAAATAAATAAATTAGAATTATCTAAAGTGGAATACACATTTATTAATATTTTCCGAACTATCGATTTACCAATTAATTTATAGTATACTATCAAATGTTGAAATAATTGCCTTCAAGTTTATGTTACATCAATGTAATTTTCGTTTTGATTTGAGGGGGTTTTATTATAAATGAGATTACTGACTATTAAAACAAATTTGAATGCAACAGGAGACAGTGGTTAAATGCTATTTTTTTAAAGCATTGCATTGGAAACATTGATAAAATCATAAAATAAATTAATGAAATATATCAGATGGAACAATTAATTTCACTCTAAATCATATTAATTTAGTTTATAAGAATACTAACAATAATTACTGATTTCTTAAGAAAGCGAGAAATGTTTTTACTTTATCTTTTTATTTAAATGTACAATTAACTTGCATAGTTTAGTATGCTTGAAAACTTTTAACCCTCCGTCGGTCGGCGTGGTCTGGCCAGACTTTTTTCGACTTCAATTAAAAAAAAAATACTTCAAGTAATCCTATCGACTTGAAATTTCTTGACTTTTCCTAAAATTTCATTAGCTGTCGATCAATGAAAAAATCAGGACGAAAAAATGTACAGAAGGATAATTATAAGGATATTAACTTTTTTATACTTCGAACGGTCGGAAAGGTCTGTCCAGACCACCCATACATTTTGTATGAAATATACGCTTTTTGATATATGTAAACCAGTATTTTGTCTTTTTTCGTGGTATTTTCTATTCAAACTGCGTTGTATATATTCTTTGCTATGTGTTGTAACATGAATGTTAGTATTTTCATGACGAGAGTTCCTTGAAAACCTACCAAACTTATTGGTAATCGCAAACACTGAAAATCGGATGAGTAATGCACACATTCATTTCAAAGGCGCCGAAAAAGAATAAATATTGTTTTTTATTGATTTAAAACAGAAAAATTAACAAAAAAGCAACGATTTTTTTATATTTCTTGATTTTTTATATAATCGTTAATACATAAGACACGAAAAACTCATTTATCCCATATAAATGCATGTAAAATGAATGGTGGTCCAGCCAGACCTTTCCGACCGTTCGAAGGTGAAAAAATATCCGACCGACGGAGGGTTAATTCAATCTACAAAAAGTTATAATCTGGATATATTTCTTTTTCTTGAATAATATATGATAAATTTTAACATTGACAGGTGTAGCCGTGTTGTTTATTATCATCGAATCAAAACTGAACACATTTAAAATCTTTGAAGTAAAGATTGAAATTTGAGTGATTATTCGTTCTTTTGAAATTTAGATTAATAAAATTATATCGTTGTTTAAATGATCTATATAATTTTTGTTAAACACCTACCAAAAGAAATGCAGCGCCTAGTATAAGTGCCTTGGTTCGACAATCTGTATATTGCGATGGGAAAAAAGTTATCAAATTATAACTAGTGACATGATGATCCCACATGTGCCGAATGCTGCCCCGTGGTGTAGTACGATCTGCCGACAAAATCTGTTTAATTAAAAATTAAAGTAAATAAAGTTGAATTGTGTTTTCTACATATATATATATATATGTAGAAAATATATATATATATATATATATATATATATATATATAATAAAGTTGTTTTTGGGCGTCCATCTATTAATTAAAACTATTTTAATGAAGTAAAATGTTTTATTGTCAAACGTTTCGGGTCCTGATTTGATCCATCTTTAGTTAATTTCAAAACAAATTTTTGAAACAAATACTAAACGCCCCCAAATACACACCAAACTAGTCTATCAAGACCTAAACATAAACACCATTAATGAAGAAATTAAATTAATTAGTCAAAAATATAAGAGTACAAAACCATCCTAATATTCTGGCCAAGAATTTATTGAAGTCGCACGGCATCAAACGGCTGAAAAGAAAACGCCCCCTCGACGGATCCGACACATTGACCTCCACATAATATATAATATATTCATTCTAATTAGCAGTACTTTACAATTTAGTTGTTTATTTATATTTTTATTTATTTCTATTGTGCTTAGTTATGTCTTTTTTATTTCTATAAATTCACAATTTATACTCATTTACCTCATAGATTAGGCTTACTACTGGGTAACCCTTTAGATCTAATGTTTAATATTTCATATATCATCAAAATTACTGAATGTCTTACTTTTTGTAAAGACAGATTGTAATTCAATAAACAGAATAAAAAAAAAATTGTCCATCGAGAAGCAAACACGTTACGCAGAAAGTTTGCTGAGAGCATTTACATATAATTACTACCTGTCGTTAATAAACGATTCGATTCAGCTACTCTGTGCATTATTTACCGGGATGCTTCAAATAAGTTTTACAATATGCGAGTACATCTTAATACTTTCTTTTGTGTACATATAAATAAATAAATAAATATATATATATATATATATATACATATACTTTTGTGCGTGTATACATATATGTATATTCTATTCTCTTCTATATACATATTCTTTTGTCCGTGTATACATATATGTATATACTATCCTCTTCTTCGTATATTTTTTCATAGTTTATAAACTCTCTTATGTTAATTCTCATACAAAAAATGTTTGCATACTGATTACAGCTTACATGCAAAAGCTATATTTTCCATATCCTTACTTCCTAATTTTTCCGCCGGCCAAAGCGCCACTAAAACTTTTCTATCTCAGTCTTTCAACCAATAACGAAACAGCTCTTCGAGTGTCCTTATCTTTACATAGAAACACAATTCACTATTAATTTTTTTTCCAAACATATAACATGTCTCGATGAGAAGACATTTTTAAAAAAAACTTTTTTCTTTATTTTATTTTAATTCACTATTTATTTTAATTTAATAGTGTTTAAAATTCGTGCTTTGGAAATTGTATAGTAATTGGTGCATTATATTTTCCGTGTTTTTTGTCTTTTCTTCAAATTATTTGTATGGTGAGTTATTGCATATTTTTCTATTATTGTAGTTGTATCTTACCTTTATATACAATATATTTCAGTCTTATAATATTTTTTTTACCATATTGTTTAGATTTATTAAGTTAATTCATAAATTTTTTATTTGTATCTTTGTATTTTTATTGCATTTTTAACTTGTAACTCTGTAATCCTTTAATGCTACATCATTGAAGATGGGTCAAATCAGGACCCGAAACGTTGGACAATAAAACATTTTACTTCAATAAAATATTTTCAATTAATGGATGGACACGCAAGAACAACTTAGATTCTTTGCTGTAGAAACAATACTTCTAAAATGAATTCTGATGTCCAGTTTATTGACTCAAAGGTAAGAGTTAAATTTTGAAAAACTTTTCAGGAGGGTCCCAGGGTGTGAACCACGGGCATGGGTGGATCAACCTTCCAAAATTAGTGGGGGTCGGTCATACATATGGACGCGATTGGGCCACTCTAAATGGGTCAAAATAAAATTTTTCAAATTTTATCCCTTATTTTTGGGTCAATGCACGGGACATCAGAATTCATTTTAGCAGTATGGTTTTTTCAGCAAAGTATCTTGTTTTGAACCCTAGTATCCAAAAATCATATTTGCCTTAGCGACTCTTTTTGACCCATACAAATCGACTCGCCCTAATATATATATATATATATATATATATATATATATATATATATACATATATATATATATATATATATATTTATTTATTTATTTATTTATTTATACGCCAACCGGCTTTATACAGTTTTATAATATTGTTCGCTAATTCAAAATTTGTATATTTATATCTATATGTACACACATATAGATATACATACATATATACAGATATACTCATATAATACGCATACATATACATACATACGCCTATATGCACATTCAATAAGTACATAAATACATACACGTAAACTTTATAAAAAACTATGATAATTAAGTAACATAAAATAATACTTTGGTTAAATAATATGACTTTGGTGAAATAACTAATTGCATTGAAAATATTGTGGTGTTTAAGTTTTTTCTATATGTAGCCTCAAAACTTTGTTGACGCATATCGAAAAAGTTCAATCTGCCGCAATACTCATTGACTTCTTTGGCTAGTCTATTTAATTAAAGGGCTATTATGCACGTACTTTTTTGAGGATTTTGCTGTATAGATTAATCTGTTGGATCGAAGTCCTGGCCTAGGAGTGACAAATTGTATTTTTTCTAAGAGTTCTGGTGATTCAATAAAGCCGTTTACTATCTTGTAAAAGAAAAGCAAGTCGGTGATTTTTCTACGCGCGGTAAAGTTGTTATTTCTGCTTTTCTTTATGATGTCATCAGCGTTGCATTCTCCTAGCATTTTATATATATATATGTATATATATATATATATATATATATGTTACGGTAAATGTGCATATTTCGGTGAATGTGCACATTCACCGGTGAATGTGCACATTTACCGGCTCATTTGGCGAATGTGAGTTCAAATCGCGCGCGTGCGCACGTTCGGGTGAAATACTAATTCATATATTTATATTTATATTTATATTTATATTTATATTTATATTTATATTTATATTTATATTTATATTTATATTTTATTATATTTTATTTATATTATTTATATTTATATTTAGATTTATATTTATATTTATTTAGATTTATATTTATATTTCTATTTATTTATCTTTATATTTATATTTCTATTTATATTTCTCTTTCTATTTCTTTATCTTTTCTTTCTCTTTCTTTCTATTTCTATCTTCTCTTTCTCTTCTCTTTCTCTTTCTCTTTCTCTTTCTATTTATCTTTCTCTTTCTCTTTCTCTTTCTCTTTCTCTTTCTCTTTCTCTTTCTCTTTCTCTTTCTCTTTATCTTTCTCTTTCTCTTTCTCTTTCTCTTTCTCTTTCTCTTTCTCTTTCTCTTTCTCTTTCTCTTTCTCTTTCTCTTTCTCTCTCTTTCTCTTTCTCTTTCTCTTTCTCTTTCTCTTTCTCTTTTCTTTCTCTCTTTCTTTCTCTTCTCTATTTTCTTTTCGTCATCTGCCTATTCCTCATTCTTTCTTCTATTGATCATTTCCCCTTTATTTATTCCCTATTCTATGAGCTATTCTATTTAATTAACTCTATTAACTATTTAACCATTAACTATTACCTATTTAACTATTCTTAATTCACTATTTACTAATTATGATTCCCTATTTGCTAAGATCTATTCACTATTTACTATTAACTATTCAGTTATCACTATTCACGATTCACTACTTTACTATTCAACTACTATTATATATCTTGATCAAAATGAACAAATCTTCAACAGAATGTTATTAATTAATTAGTATATTGTCTAGGGTTATTAATCATTTATCACCATAACACCATTTTGGTACAAAATTTGTAACATGCTTGACGTATTTCGCGCATAGTCTTTATTGCGCATGCGTCAAATACGCGAGATGTTCATAAGACCAATCCAAGTACGCACGTACACCATTGTTTTAATTTGATTGCTTGAGAACACGCCACATTCACCTAGCGTTTTGGGGAATGTGCACATTTACCGGTGAATGTGCACATTCACCGAGAGAGCACATTTACCGTAACATATATATATATATATATATATATATATATATATATATATATATATATATATACATTAGGTAAGTTTTCTATAGCAAAAAGTAAAACATATCGACAATATTGAATATTCTGAAAGTTTACTTATATCAAACAAAAATCGTTTCGTAGGATTAGTTGGCTCTTTTTTTACAAAGCTTTGCTAGTGTACTTAGAAAATAAGATGACAAAGCTCACGTGGGTGAAAAAGTAAGATTAAATCCTATGTATTTTTTTTCAAACAAATCAATGCAATAAATAAAAAACTAAACACTTAATCATTTTTAGAGGCTGCAAATCTTGACATTAAATATCATTTAAGTCTAAGAAATATATAATAATTATAAAAGAGTTCTCCAACAACTTACACTAAATTCGGCATCACTGTGTTTGGTACAAAATATTCCCATATTTGGGCCTACGATCCAGAATAAGACGTCTCCTGATGCGTCGCAAATGCGGAACAAAGGTTCAAACATTGTAAATTCCCGAGTGATACTTCCTAAATAATCGCCAGGGGGTGCCCAAACTTCAAGTTCCTGTAATTTTAGATTCAATGTTATAACTCACGAGTATTTAAATTAATGATATTTTTAGTTTTTATAGAAAACGGTTTTTGGAATTGCATTCTGTAATTATCTCAGGCCCTAGATCTATAAGCCTAATATATAAATTTGTACCAAGTTTTTCAATTCATTGTGCAAATCATTTTTGATATTACTTGAGCTCATTTATTTGATGCTTTGAATAAAGAGCTATTTCTTTTAAGTATTTATTGGCTTAAAAAACAGAAAACAATTGTAGATAGCAATAATATTTAATTTTAATTAATAATACATTATTGTGATGCATCTATTTTTAAAAGTTTTAAACCGATTCAAAATTTTCAAGCTCATTCCTTAAATAAGAATTGAGATTTATGTCGATGCTAAGATTATTTAACGTACTAATTTTGATTATGGTTTGTACTGCACTTTAAGCAAGATCTAATTTGAATGATTAATTTACTGAACCTCTGATCTGAAACCACAACAAAGCATATTGCATGCAAGTCTTCGTTGGAACGAAAAAGCTTCCTGTTGTGACTGATCCAACAACCTCATCGAGAAAGGGCGACCCGATCCCCACAACATCCTGTGAGATGATTTCGAGGTTTCGCAAGCCACGTATAATGTTTCGCCCAAAGGTATTTTCACAGTATACCGATTCTCCGATTCTACTTTAGACATCACTAAAATTGAAAGAAATTGAAATGAGAATATTAACTCCTTAACTTAAAATGACGAGCCGAGCCCGCGTGCGATTGCTAGGCCAAAAGTGAATATTACGGGCATAGCCCGCGTATGATAAACGCAAGTATTACAAAATATTTATTCATACGAAACTAGCAAACACAAAATTATTTTTACTTTTGTAATAAAGCGTACGCTATGAGGGAAAATAGTCACAAACGCCGCGCCAGCTTGAACAACTTTGGCCCGACATTTTCGAATCTAAATCGTAAGTTAAGGGGTTAAATGAATATAAATATAAGTACTTCAATCACATTTCGAAACATTGCAAATTTATGTATTCATTTATTTGCATATGTTTATAGATATTTTAAAGTTACAAATCAGCCTCAGAAATATTCCTAAAAAGTTTTTAGTATAAAAAATACACATTGCAATAGATTTGTATGGTACCTAGTTCACTCTCAAAAACTCAAAAACATTTTTTGCTAAAATTGCTCTCTATGCAAACCGGAAAATCTTAGTTTAATAATAATTTGTTTTATGAAAAAAAAGTAAAATTTAGGCTCGCCTTAAGCTCAAGAAAAATTTAATTAAAATTAAGTTAAAAACTTTCACTGACTAAAAACGGGTTGAAAGATGATTCGATAATGATTATTGTGAACTAGGGATTTGCGGTAGGAGATGTGGTATAAAATTTTTAGAAGAAAACCAAAGCCATGTCACGCGACCCTTGTTTTCTGGGCTGGATAGCATGCTTGATTTGGTCGCGCTAGATTTCATGATAGTAAGATTTGTTTTAGCTTGCTAGATTATCAAATATTATATATCACATGACAAAATACTGCTTTCCTATTGGTTTGAACAAACGAATTCATCTCATAGACATTACACTACGATAATGGTCCATCCTCAAAAATAGCGCACGTTCTAATATTAAAATTTCGCTTGCTGGAAACAAATGGAGATCGATACGACGTTATTTTGCCGCCTACTTGATAACCAGCATACTAGCCAGCAGATCAAAAAAGTAATGAAGCAAGCGTCGTGTGAATAGGCCTTAACACATAATAATGATAATGCAAAGTAGCTAGTGTATAATTACAAATTGAAACGTAAAATGATTTTGTTTCTTCACACATTTTAGCATCCTGTTAACTAAGTGGCCTAGGGCGCCTGCATTTCTCTACGTTTCAAGAAATTACTTTATAAAATAGTGACTACTGATAAATAGTGCTATGTTGCAATTTATAATTACTAGTTACATTGCATTATTATTATTATGTGCTAGTTTTCTTAAAAAAAAATTCATATCCACTGATGACGTAGAATTTTACGCCGCTAAGAATTTAATCACACACACATATAATATATATATATATATATATATATATATATATATTAGGGTGGTCCTTAAAATGATCATTTTCGAATTTTCTTGCTCCCAGGGGCTCAAATGGTTCCATATAGATAAAAAACAATTCTCTGAAAGTTTTAGCTCTTAATATTAACGTTTAGATAGAGCGCAATTCAATCAAAGTTTTGTATGGAAATAACATGGAAAAATTTTCAAAAATTTTAAAAATAATAGTATAAAATTAAAACAAAAAAGTTGGACAAATAAAATTATTTTGTAATCAATTTCTTCGATTATTACTTTCATGGTAAATTTGAATAGTGATATAAATGATCTTACTATCATGTAATTCAACAGTTTGTTGTATATGTACTTGGTCAACCCCATGCAGAAAGTCTAATCCTGAAAGCGGATTTGCTTGTCCCGCCTGTGTCGATCGCCATGATATCGTAGACACTGGTATTGGCCTGCGAACACCGGCAACACTTTGCTCAGATCTTGTTTGTAAAACTGAAAGACACTTTTATCATTATATTTTTCATATAACTTACGTTCATTTACAGATATAATACATTTGATTTTCTAAACAATTTGCTAAACTTCAAGAGCAAAATTTCCGAAAATTGTGCGTTACGGCTAATGATAGATTTTATTTAGGGTTGTTAAGTGTGACTTCTTACTGTATATTTTTAGTATGATGAATTTATAAACAAATATATGTACTTACCAGCAACAGGTGGTTGTCTTAAGATTGGTGTTTCGGGATAGACTGAAAAGAAAACCAACGATCATACTTAACAAAAGTATTGATAGAGAACATTTGTTTTATTTGTTAGACAAACATAATTTTATGCTGCAATCATTCTACAATTTATTTTGAATTTTCATATTTTTGAATTTTATTAGTTGTCCGTGTATGGGTGTAAGCTCAACGTGTATGGGTGTTATGGGATAATATCAACTTAGACAAAAATATTTTAGGGTAATGATTAAAGAAATTTTGCAACCTATTTTTTATATATGGACAAAATTCATATGCTGGATAAAATATAAACTGGATATGTATATATATATATATATATATATACATATATATATATATATATATACATATATATATATATAAGGCGGGTCGATTTAAGTCTTTTAAGCACCTATGATTTTCGAAATTTGGGGATCAAATTAAGATACTTTGCTTAAGAAACCATACCTCTGAAAAATTTATCTTATTGAAACAAAAAAAAAATAGAAAGGAAGTTATAAATTATTGCTTGAAGACTTTTTTGGTTTCAAGTCTGGAAGATTTCGCACGGGTCTCTGATGTCGTCACCATAACGGCCTCTACATTTTCCGGTATTACTCGTTTGGAAATACTAGCTAGCAAAGAAACGCAGAGACAAAATGCATTGGAAAAAAATGAAACTAAAAAAAATCGATAGTTTTTTAGTTAGATAGTTTCGATAGCGTTTTTTGTGTGTATGAATTAATACCTAAATAATAAGTTCTAAAAATAAATTTTTTTGCTGATTTTTGTTATTATAGTGATAAAATGATGATTATTTGCCATTTTTGTATGATGGGTCTCTCAGGGGAGGCCCCAGGGTATCAACTAAGGACATGGGTGTATCGGCCTTCGAATGTTAGTGGGAGTCGGTCATACATTTAGATGCTGTTTAAAATCATATTTTTTGATACCAAAGTTTGATTGATAGTATTTAGATGCGATTGGGTCGCTCTAAATAGGTCAAAACATAGTTTATCACAATTCAACCTGTATCCTGTATTCAACCTCCATCGGCCAATGGAGCAAAGGATCTTATTTTGATCCCTAAAATCCAAAAATCACACTCTATTTAACACGTATTATTCAAGCGAGTATAAATCTTTTCATTTCAAAATACAAGTGAAAGGGCATGCGGGCACACAGATACAGGATCACGTGCTAAGCCTCGCCTGTGACGCACACGGCCACGGCAAGAGCAACCCTTTTCTGTTTTAGGCGCAAAATCACGGCGTCATCTAAATATCAATGGAAGTAATTCTAGCATATTTATTACATTTGAGTGGTATACAAAGATAAAAGTTCCACTTGATTATTATCCGTAAAGTGGTAGAATATTATTAGATCTTTTAACCAATTTTAGTAGGTGCCACCAAATGAACGAAAATGTCTGTCCCTTAGCACCGGACACTAAGTCGCCCCTTAGTACCGGAGAGTAAACATATTGATATTTCTTGTGAGAATTTAAGTAATTTTTTCCAATTATTTAATTTTGTTCTGTATGAGAGGTAACGGTCACTACATACCCCCAATTTTCCTATTTCTTAGTTCAAGAATGTAAAGCTTAGGTGAATGCACCAGCTGAAAGCAAGTAGATAAATAGTGACCTTTTTTGCAATAACTAAGAATATTCGTCAAAGACACATGTGTAGACATTCCAAAGTGTTGAGATGGCTGCATATGTGATCAATGCATATGAATTGCTGCGTGTACTGATGTCTTTCCTGAACGACATGTTCTGTTTTTGCTTTAAGATTTAGCACTATGAGTAAAAGTAATGAAAATTCTGCTTTTTTTGTAATTTCTGTAATGCAACTGAGCGGCACGCTGTTCCAGTACATCAGCGATACACTCCTGCGGGAAGCACATCCGTAGCGAAAGGGTTAAAATTTGAAATAGTTGCTAAATCGATTTATTAGAATTATTGATTTACTTAATGTTTACGGTGAACATGATATATTAGTACCTACTATAATTGCACTTTCTTTATTAAAATTATTGTTAAAAAAGATGTACGATCAACAAGCGACTGTATCTTGCATTTTGTAAGTGTTTGTGAACGGCACTTATCGTTTTCATTTAACGCGTTTCTTATCTATTATCTGTGTATTAAAAAAAGTTGTTTATGCTTCGGTTTCTTACCAAACGCCGCTGGAGACATTGGTGTCTCAGGATGAGACCGTAGTCTTTCATCAGCGACGAAACCTTCATTGTTATGTCCTTCACTGTCCGACATCACTGTTTTCACATTTGTTATCAAATAAAACAATTCGCAATATGCTAGAAATATTTAATCAAAATTCACTTTATTATGCCACTCGTGTTTCAAAGTTTGTCTTTATTAAACTAGCTCATGCAGTAAATAATTACGCATATTTTAAACATGCATCATTATTAAAATAGTTTTTAACCTGCACCGATTCGTAAATTTGATATACGCTTGTTCTAGTAAAAGACTCTTCATTCAAATCCGTATTATTACTCGTTGTTGACGCATTCTTTAAACAATGATATCACAATACAAAGTGCGATAACAAACTTTATCTCATATATTTCGATAAAACAGAATGAAGGAGCCATTCGATATGACTGTGGTATAAGGCTGATATTGAACAAGTGATGCCATCACATAATTAACAATTTGTTGATAATTTGTATACGAGTGTGTGCGTATTTAATATATAACTATATCTGTGTATATATGTATGTATATAAGTGCATATGAGTGTTTAATCATCGCCGTTCTTGTTGCTTGCATATTATTAACTATATTGTATTATGTATTGTTTCAATTTAATAAATAAAACTGACAGTTCATTTACAAAATTCTATTCATTTTGATTAAACATACGTCGTTCTTATAATTTTTTTCATTTTTATTTATTCACCTACGTTTCTATACAACCGAAATTATTAAAATCTGGCGTTGCTATTGCTAAAGAGAAATGCTAAAATTATTCAATTTTAATTTTTTCTAAACTCATTTTATTTTGTATCATAAAAACATCAAAATAAACAAGTGAATTTCTGACTTTTTAACTTCCCGTAGGGTATGTTATTGTAATCGTCCAAAAATTGAAAATGAAAATTTTTGCATATCTTCACGTTTTGAAGGTTTCTGAACACTTTGGCATATCTCATGTCAAAAAGTTTTCAAAAGTTTTTTTTTCAAAAAAGTCATTTTTTTTTTCAAAAATATAAAATTTCTCAAAAATCTAATTTTTTCAAAGTTAAAAAAAAATATAATCTTTATAAAAAAAAATAATTTTTAGTGCGGAAAGTTTCAGCAATTTTTTTAAGGCACAATGCCATACACCACTAGTTACCTTTTTAATTGACATTTTTTATTATTTTTACCTTTGCCAGGGTAAAGTTTCAGTTGGTCTTTTTACACCACCTACGTGTAAGCTTTAATAAAAATTATATAAAACACGGTTGAATCTAACTTTAAATTAGCAATACATCTTATAAAATAATTAATTAACGTACACTTAAAAATTATATTATGATCTCGTAAACTAAGCAACAGCTGTTGTGCAACATCACTCGTGCGACAACCAACCTAAAAAACAAACAACGAAGAAAAATACTTATATTATAAATTTTCAAACATTGCCGTTTATTTCTCGATAGCGGAGTTTCTTGATTTAAAGCGATAGTTGATCACACACATCTTTTTCCCTCTATTTTCAAATATTGCTGTTGAAAAATTCTTAACTTTACTAGCTTTTGAGATATCGGAAGTTAAGGCCCTCTACCCTATTATAAAATATAGTTTTTAGTGAATTGCTACTGGAAGTTAATTAAGTTAAAAAAGCAATTTTAGAAGCAATAAATTGAATAAATAGTTTCTCCAACTCTGCTGATGAATTTTTTTAACGAAACACCAAATAGATTGAGACATATACAGTGATAAAAATATTAATATATATATATATATATATATATATATATATATATATTTATATATATATATATAATACATTGAATCTTTTTACTCCATGGCCGTTCCAATTCAACCCCCCTATGGGGTAAAAAGGACCAGGTGGTAAATTTTTTAAAAGCAGCAAATAACACATTTCTACAATGATGAATTAGCTAGGAATTTGACTGATGAACATACTCAGATTATTGATTGTTTGGTATGCGTTCTTTGTTGTTCTACAATCGGTTGGAATTTCACAATATAATTACTCAAAGCTAAATTGGATCGTTGTGCTTCGCCCTACCCTAATTATAAAATTATATTTTGCTATATTATCGAGCACTTTTAATATTTTGTGCCTGTGGATATAAAATCTCTGAAAATATGTAGTTTATGAACATCAATCGAAAGATAATGATTACTAAAACAAAATCTGAGAGCAAGAAACCTCATTTTATTTTTGTAATATTCATTTACAATATATGCTTTCACAAAAATTACACATTGAATGATGCGTATCAAGTGTTTACAGTTTGCCATTATGTAGATATGGGGATATCATTTTATAATTGTCATTTTATGACATATGACTAGAATGTCGTTTTCCATTTCTTCAGATTTATTTCACAAAGAAATATTAGATACATCTAAAATATTAACACAATATATTTTATAACCGCATTTGAATATTTAAATAAGCTTTATGCAATTTATTTAAAATTATTATATAAAAATAAATATATAGATTTTAGTACTTTTTCAAAGCTATATCATAAATAAATTTTGAGATATCATACATGATAATTTAACTCTATCTAATGCACGATAACAACTGGCTTACATTCCATACTATAACTTGTAACGTTCTTCATATACCACAATTATTAGTTAATGATGATTGCTAATAAAGAATAAAATTGTTCAAAAAAAGTAGTAGTATAACATATAATTATATTCAGTCGAAACTAATAAGAATGCGCACTTAATTCAAAATAAAACATTATTGTCAAAGTTGTCAAGAAACTATTTCAATAGTTTGAAGCTCTACGCTTGTTTTTGTGGTATATGATATTATGAATTCAAAACATAGACAAACATATGCATAAATTACACAAATTTTGTTAAAATCTTAAACAGGATATGAATTGATAGAAATATTTAACATCAATAACATTTTACACATGTAGTATTTAATTTTTTAATCTTTATTTCACTATCATCGTATACTAATTTGAATGGTAAAATAATATGAACTACTTTCGAGTTTTCTGTTGAATAATAGCTGCCATATTCAAAAATTGTCTGCAAATGTTTGCAATTCTTATCTTATTTAAAAGTAAGGTGCAATTTTCAAACTAGATAGTAATTTTTACTTTATATAATTTTCGGTTAAAATTTTTTATAACACATGTTTGGGTATTAATTTTGTTATAATTTTTGACAGCCATAGAATGAACTGAAAACTCAAAATTTTATTTTGACAGTCAATTTATTGCTTTTAAAACTGTTTATACATTGCTTTTATGATACAAGTTTTAGTCGCAGTATGAAATAACTTTTAATTCTCAATTCAAAATTTTAGATGTGCTTTTGCGCATTATTATGATTGAAAAATAAAAACTTGGTAGTGTTTTGCGTTTATATTTCATTGATCTCAAACAAACTTAAAATTCTATAAGTACTTATTAATAAAAATATTTATTAATATTCAACGTAAACGATAGTATCTTTGCGAATAGTGAAATAAAGTTTAATTTATTTTTTCAAATTTTAATATAAACATTTATATAGTAGTTATTCGTATAGGTATATTTTATGTACTTGCATAAAGTTAAGTCTTTTACCATTTATATTTACGAAAATTTAAACATACATTGTATGAATATGCATGAAAATGTTTTCATTAAAAGTAATAAATGCATCATTCCAAGATTTTTAGACGTCGCCCTGTCGGATTGCTGCCTAATCATATAATTTATATTATCTTTCGTCCGTTTTTTCATGTTTGAAATATAAATTAATTTTTAGTTGTAAATAACGGGATAAGGATAAATTATATAATACTGTAGTCAATCTTCAAGGCTTTATACACTATTTTACATAGTACTAATATTTAGATTACAGCACATTAGTTTATGGGCTTCAAATTTCTAACCACCCAGAACTGTGTATTTTTGCATAGAATTTATTATATAAATAATTTAACGTGTATATATATAAGAATATATATATATATATATATATATATATATATATATAAACATATATGGAGAAGATTTATATTTTGTTCTGTGATTTATAGTAAAATGCATGGATTCATTACTCTGTTAGACCTTTGATACAGTTTCTTTTCCTATAAAATCAAATTTCTGTTACCATAATAAAGCTTTACCATCCGTTTCATACCTTGCTGCTATAGTAATATACACTATGTGCGTTGACATCATATATTTTTACATAATGCAAAATACTTTTTGTAACAAAGAGATCGTAATATATAAATATCATGAATAAGTCAATTTATATACAATAATTTTTGCAGTGACTCAAAAGGATGATTTACGTCAAAATAAATAACTATTGATGATATCCGAAAATAAAACATAACTTCTACTTTTTATCAATTTTGTTTTCTATATTATAAATATTTCAAAAAATATCATTTTAATATGTGGTCGATATTTGCGACTAAAATATATTTCGGGCATTACCAACATAAAAATTAGTTCCATAGTCAAAACATAAGTTAAAATTACACTTACTGGGTTGAAATGCCCTAATAACATATATTTTGAAAACTTTTTGAAGAAGAATAGATCTGTTGAATACCAAAAATGAGATATCTAAGATAGTTAACATTTAAAAGATGCTTTTAAAACAACTCAATTTTAAACTTGGAATGCTGTTCATAATTTATATATGTATAGGAGGGTTATACAAGTAAGTCCTGGGGTACAGGTGCAACCCAAGTCAGACGATCAAAACAAAAAATATGAGAAATTAAAATTTATCAGCATTTGATAGGATTTAATGAGCAACAGAGAAGGCTTTTTATTACAGTCCTACAGGATAATTGGCGATTAAGTGCACTTTTTGCATAAAAGGTCTTATGTTTAGCGTATCAGAAAAATATCATTCTTTCTTTTCCTAAATATAAACGTTTTTCTCAAGAATTGGCACAATATAAAATTAATATAAAGTAAATACTATAAAGTTTAAAAAAAAATAACATTATTTCTGTTAGAAGTGCATCTGTATTATTAATGTAGCAATAAATTTGGAAAGCATTCCAAGATAAACTATTAATTTTAAACAAATGAATTAGAAAATAATTTTTCTTTTAAATTATAATCTCAACGCACATAATGTTTCATTTCGGGGCCTTGTTTGAATTTATCGTTTGCGCTTGTATTCCGCGAGACAGGGATGTCTGGCGCATTCCGCAGCGGGATCTGGCACCGCGTGCAATTCGCGCATTAGGCCGAGTGCATCCCTCGCGGCTCGCCTGCACTCGCGTTCGCCGCTTGCTCCCGAACATATTGAATCTACTTCCGACAGGTACAACATGTCGCAACCGGTAGTTCCAGATGAACCCTGTAGCGAAAATAAAATAACATAATATTGATCGTTTATCGTTTCAGTCTATATATTACAATAAATATAGGGTGAAGTGGACAGACGTGGGCCACAGGCTGGAGTGGGCCAGCAGAATAACTCTAACACTAGTAACATGTATGACGAACCGCGCACATATTTATCATATTTTGATACTTGCTCAATTTTAAAAAGCATTTGGAGGTTATAAACCTACTCTCTCACTGTAGAGAGAATTTCGTTGAGGAATTTTTTAGCGTCGTACGCTCTTACGTGATTTGTCATCGAATTTTCACGAAAAATATACTAGTAAATATGCAATATATTGTATAGACATATAATGTTAGAAATGCAAAGTAATTTTTGCCGATTGTTTACCTTGTGTTTTTGTGGGATGCATATGCAAAAAGCGCGTTTGCAGATAGAAGTGGGCCACTATTTATGGACAGACATAAGTCACTTGCGCAATGCCGTTCTTTGCACAGTAAAATATTTTTATTAAATAATCGAACGTCTTATTTACTTATTTTTATCTCTTCAGTCATCATGCCTCCTAAGAAAACAGAAAACTCCAAAAAAGTGGTGAATTATGAACAGTTGATTATTGCTTTGAAGGAAGTGAAAATAAAAAAAAATCGGAGAGTGTTGCTTCTGCTGTTACCAACGTTAGCAAATTGTCTTTTTATCGCCTCAATACATCCCCTAAAGACAGAGAGGTCGCGGCAGAAGCAGCACAGGGTCAAAAATTTCAAGTACCAGCGTAAGTTCCCAAGAAGGCCAATATTTCATAGTCAGCAGTGAAAAAGGCAAAAAATGAAATTGTACGATTTCTTCAAGTGTAGACAACGATTTTGGCATGATTTGCAATAATTGATGTTGGCATAGCTGTCAGGAAAAAACTCCTTCGAGTGCGATAACTACGACAGACCCTTCCACTCGAAGCGCGTGGATATAACCAACTTGCGACTTGTTGACGTGCACCAATTACACCTAGAATCTGTGCTTGATTGTTGCAAAATGTTTTTTTTTTCAACAATTTAATCATTCCAACTTTATTACTTCTTTTCCTACATTAAATGAGCATTTTTACTGAAGTCACTGTTTTTTTTCAATTTCTGCCCTTCATTTCGAGTCAACGATTTTGAGTTTTGTTAATTCGACAACAGATTCGTAATCAGCATATTTGAAAATTCTCAGAGTAAGAATTTAAAGCATATAGCAGCATTTTTTCAGATAAAAATTTGGGTGGCCCGCTTCTTCCTACATTTTCGAAAAACAAGTTAAATACACTTTTTCTGCCATTCAAAAAAAGAGATACTTTCAAACATAATTGCCAGCATCTGCTATGAAAAAAGTAGCATTTTATAGTACCCTTACAACTACAAAAAAAAATTAAGAAAATATTTTCATTTTTAACCATTTTACATTCAAAAATAAAAACGTGGCCCACTTCTGTCCACTTCGCTATACTATAATTCCAAAACCTTGTTAGAGAATTTCCAAAGGTAGTGATACAGAAAATAAAATATTCTGACACAGTTATATTATATATGAAGTACAGTGGAATAAACATCTTCTGTGCTGGGCTCTTATACACACGTTGCTAAAATACTTCGACATGGAAATACAGAGAATATGAATTTCATATACTTTTATCTACTTCTTTCTTGATTTTAAGATAATTAAAAAAAACTGTAAATTCCAGTTCAAACAAGATTGTAAAACAAACTACAATACATTGACAATACGAACGACTACTACATACATTGTTGGAAAAATCTATGCTATGCGAATAAATATCAGTTTTTTTTGGCTAAAAAGGTATAATTCAATTAATTTTTACTCACGCATAGGTAGCAAATTTGATGCATTGTACACAGCGGCAAAAACACATGCGTTCTGTCTCCTGCCCACACATCGATATTGCGACAACGAGCTGATATAGATTGCACTATAGGACATTCTTTTCCTTCGTCTTCTATTAAATAAAAATAATATATTATTCATAATTTTTTTGATAAATGATATTAAAAATATCAATTATTTAAAATCAATAGCTATTTAATAAAATTTAAATCCTTATTCTATAGTTCCTAAAATACATTTCAGTTAATTCTATTAACAAATAAATTTCAATAAACTTTCCATGTAGAGTGCAATTTATACGATAAAACAGACAAGACCCGTAGTTCTCACCGTAATCACCGTAGTTCTTTAAAAAAATCTCTTTTTACCTATTTTTGACATAATTATTATTTATTTCTCTGTCCTAGTATATATAATTTTAGAAGTCTTCTCATATTTTATTTTTATTATATCGTATTTATATAATGTGCTCACCGTGATGAAATGCTAGTCTACCTCCCATGTAGCCTTCGGAATAAGGCTCTTGTGATAACCTTTGGTTTTCGCTGCTGCGTTTATCTTTCTCTTCATTAGTTTCATTGTGTGCATGTTCGGCACTTTCCTTTTTTACTGCAACGCGTTTAGCTTTGTCATCTACATAATCATTACGGTTGCGTCCAGGGAAATTACTTCTATACCCAGTGGGTTGATATTGTTTGTCGTTGTCATACATTTCTGACAATCTAAAAAAAAAATTATACTCAACCAAATAGCTAAATTGCAAAATTGTCAATCAAAAATTTACCTTGAAATTACCATTTGTCGTAACTGATTAATCTCTTCGGGATCCGCATCTCTAGCTTCTGAGTATTTGGACGCTTCATCTAAAAGAATATCCTCAATATCTTTGAGTTTTTCATCGACATCTTCATAATCTGGTTCTGGCCCTGGTACTACATTTTGTTCTTGCCCTTGTACAAATACTCTTGTGTCGAATGGCTGATAATATTTCTTGTCCAAATCATGGTTTTTGAAACTTCGCAGAGGATATTCCTGTTTCATATTATTATAATCTCTCATCGAATTTGCGAGGTACTTATGCTTGATTATCTCCTCACGATCTTCCGGAAAAGACTTTTTACTGCGTTTATCTATACCGAAATAATCTGACCACTTTACAGATTTTTTCTTTACTTCAACTGGCTTTTCTGGTAAAATTTGTTCTGGTTTTACTACTTCTCCGTAATGCGTGTGATCATGACCATCAGTACCATTATGTTTTTCAACAATTATTTTAGCTTGTTTATCAGATTTTTTTACTGGTACATTTATTTTTTTATTTTTGTCTTCGGAAATTGCTTTTTTGGCTTGACTTCCAAATATGCTACTTAAATCTTTTGATATTTTTTCATCGGTTTCACTAGCTGCTTTTCCTAACTCTGATGATCTTTTCTTTTTGTTTCCCACAAAAACGTTACTACGTTTTGTTACCGGAAAACGCTTTTTTCTCATGGTTTGATCTTTATTTGAGTACATTGCATAGTGACGTGGCATTTGGTTCATAACTTGTAAATCGTTAGTAGCTTCTTCCTCTTCTGCCAATAGTCTCTCAAGAGTTTCAGTTGGTATATACTTCAATGCTCGCATGAGATCATTTTCGCTAATGTCGTCATCGTATCTTTCTCTGAAGGCCCTTTTCCTAAAGCCGACCGGGCCCCATCCTACAGGTTGGTAATCTCCGGACAATTGACGCTTGACGTCATTGCGACCACCAAAGATTCTTGCGAGATCCTGTTCCGGATCATCGTAATCTTTATTTCGATACCGTTGATACATGTCATCTACCATTTCTTCGTATTCTTCATTTCTTTCTTGTTCGCGCTCGCGTTGCCTTTCCCTGGCTTCATCTTCTTGAATGTTCTTCAAAAATAATTCTGCCAGTTCGTCCCGAGGATGCGGTTTCACTCTCGACATTCTCTCTCTGAACGAAGTCCCTCGCTTATCTTGATGACTCCAATTTGGGCGATTAATCATTGAATTTTGTCTATATGATGCGGGTTCTCGTTCATAAAAGGGATAATTGGGTGTTTTGTCAAAACGTGATGGATAATATTGAATCTCATCTGCAAAAGTATTGATCTAACTTATTTAAAAATTTGACATATCATGTTACTACTATTTACTACTACTAATTTTGATAAAAATGTCAACTATAATTATTACTATTTTTTTAAATCATATAACTTAAAGTTCTAGAAAATAATAAAATTATCTAAATATTAAATTAAAATATTTGATTTGATAGTATTTGAGAGTAATCGATAATAAATTTAAAGAATGTTTTCTTTAAAATAAAATAATTTATTTTTTAATTGATTTTGGAAACAACGTGCTTCATATTTGGGTTGAATTTGTTGCAAATCGATTTTATGATCAAGTGCGGAGCTAGTGTCTTAAGATTTGTGCTTATATAGTTGTACTAAAAAATGAATCATTGATTCATAACATCAGTAATTAGTTGCGTAAATTTTACTACTTCAAACATATTATAAGGTACTATTCGTACTAACGTATTTTTTTACGTATTTTCATTTTCATTCAAAAGGGTAGTTATGGTTAATATCTTCTAAAATCATGATTTTCTATCTATAATGAAACTCAATGATAACGCAAATAACTTGACATGTATTAATTAATTTTCAAAGTTCAAAGTAATACTAATACTTAAATACTTAATAGTTTAACATTCATTTTCATAACATCATGTTAGTTTTCGTTACTATAATATCTTTAAAATAATTATCTGTACGATATTACATACTATAAACCATAATTTTCTAATTAAAATTTTAATGAAAGTAAATTCTCATATAATCCCCATGTACGGCACCAAGAATTATTTCTCATTATTCATCATACAAGACTAGAATTTGCTTTGCAAGCAAGACTAAATTTCAATTAAGCGTTTAATTAGAGCTCCTATTTCTCATGCAATCTATGCATTCAACTTTCGTCTTTGATGAATAATCTAGACATTACCTTATATGTTTACAAATCATAGTTGTAAAATTTCAAACGGGCGAATATTTTTATTAAAATTTTACTCTAAAATTTATCGCATTTGGAACATCTAACCTCATTGAACCCAAGGTTCAGATTGGTTATAAGAAATAAATAAATGAAAAATAAATTGGAACATTATATAGAATAGGCGGAGAAGTAGGAGATTTGACCGAAATGCTCTTTAAATTCATTCGGTATGTGGATTTGAAAAATTCTCAATTTTTGCGTTGTTTAAAATGTGATACGTGTCGTTTATTGTATAATATCAGTAAGATATTTTAAAATGTTCTAAAATATTTTTTTTTAGGATTATTACTTAAATATTACAACATATGCATATATGTTTTCCGAATGATCTTTAGTTTAGATATAAATTAATCCAATATTGAACTCCTCTAATGCATTTCCATAATCACATTTGGAACTAACCAATTGCATTCCCATAATCCTGTGGACCCTGTTGCGATATCCATTGAGCCGCTTCTCCGCCGTCCGACATGTATTGTCTGTTGGCCGCTGCGGCTAATTGCCGCTGACGCGCGAGCAACGCATCCATTGCGCCGCGAAGTGATCCGTCTACGTTATTGAGACCGTGTACCCGTGTGGCGGCCCCGCTGCACGTGCTCACCGTGCACAAACAGCACGCGGCAGCCGCCAGCCAAAACATGCGGCAGCTAGGCCACATCTCAAGTCTGTTTCAACACCTGTAAAGAAAAATGATTGTTGATGAATCATTTTAGTCGCTTACTTTTATGTACAAGCAGTAAGAAACAAATTTGTTTGTATTTGCATACTTAACACTTACGGGACGGCACCGATTTCAAAACAATTTACTGTACCGGCTGTAAACTTAATTTCATTGTGTATGTTATGCAATTTGTTTGATAAAAATGTGTGATCATTGAAGGACATACATTTATAATATTAATTCATTTTTGATCATTTTATAAAGAATCGCGACGTTCAAAACAATTTCCAAAATACATAGCTGGTTGTTTTTGACATGTTTTACAATAAAATGTTGTTCGCCGCCTTCCAGAATATGCCACTGATTAGTCAGTATATTTTTTCATTTTTGTGCTGCTATAATGGTTTGTTTTTTCTATTATATTGTCTAATAATTCATTTGTAAAATATAAAGTAAAATAATCTATTGGATGTCTTATATTGCTTGGTATTTGTAGTCGGGTTGTTTGTTGATGTATGTCAAACTCGATTATTGAAGCAGAATCGGCACATTCGCTAATGTCTTTCCGCTCTTCATTTAATTTATCGAACTTCTTCTTTTTGTTGGTTGGATAATATCATCAGCACATTCATCACTATTTCGGTGCGAATAGTAATTTCGTAAAAATTGACTGTATGAATGTCTATTTGAAACTCATCTTCACTACTGCTTAATTCACAAAATTTACCAGTCGTTTTGCCATATTTTAAAGCTCGGGCGTTTTAAATATTAAAAAAAGACTATATAGCAAAAAAGGCTAAAAATACTACTAATTTAAAATTATTTTCAGAATACAACGCTGTTTATCATTGCTATATGTAATTTATTCAGTTTTTCGATGCAAACTGAGTCATTGTTTATAAAATAGCCTGTGCCTCACAAAGTATGTTTGTCCACTCTGGTGGACAGCCGACCCCAAAGTGTTAATATATAACTTCTCGTTATTGTCAAAAATTCTAAATTCAACATTTTTGCTTATCTTCACGTTTCGAATGTTTCTGAACATTTTGGCATACCTTAGAATTAAAAAAAATCGATGTGTGTGTAGTATGTGCTTTGTACATTGTATTCCTACTGACGGGTGGGAGGGGGTAAACATGCAGATTAATTTATGGCTAAGACAGGGCCAGCGGTTCGGCCCAACAAGAAGTGTTAAAAATGACCATTTGTTTGAAAACAGAGCATCCGGTTCGAATGATTCATACAAAATTTTGCTTGCGTTGACAGTGTGAAGAAACAATAATTTTTTAGGTAAGAAAAAAAATCAAAATTTCAAACAAAAAAAAAATACCAAAAAATTTCCTTAAAATATTGAAAATTGTTCGGATTTTAATTTTAATTCTAACTAAAATACTAAAGTTCACTTTTTACTTGAAATAAATAACTTGCATAACTTTAACTTTGCAATTCAGTTGGAATAATAATTTTTAAAAACATGACATACGGTCCTTCATACTAACTCCGCTTGATTAAGTTTTGTTCATTTACATTTATGAGATCTTTATTATGTCTATAAAATACGAATAATGAAAGTTTCAGTATTTTTAATAATCTATTTGAAAACATTTAATAAGCCTCGAATATTCAATTCTGGCACGGTAGGTTCCAGCAATTTTCCTTAAAGCACGACGCCATGCATCACTATTTTCTTTATAAAAAAAGTCGATTAGTTTAGTGAAATCAGTTTAAGCTTCAATAAATCAGATTATAAACCTTTTTAAATAGATTTTTTTGTTAAAAAAGCGATTGAAAATGCAAAAACTACTCTTAGCAAGAAATATAAACTTCAAATTATTCATTAATGAAAAACAACCACATGTTGCCATTATTATATTGATACTTCATTTCAAAACTCGCGTAAAATGCAAACATGATCACGAATACGAAAAGTTTTAATAAAAAAATACTGTTATAATTTAAAATGTTTTCCAATTACGAAATGAAATTTATGAAGTTTATGAGACTTATATTCAGACTTTTTAATTATAATTCGTAATACTGTACCTACCTGTTATTACTGCATGATGAGCAGTAACAGCTACGATATATAAAAAATTGTTTCTTCAAAACTTTCTCTTATAAATATAAAATTATTATGTTTGCGCAATATTTTAAAAAAATACTCACTGAAAATTGATTGTAATATAGTAAGAACTATGTAAATTTATAAAAAAATATTTTTATGCTTTATAAAAATTGTAGTAAAAATTACGATTTCAAAACTAAAAAATTGTCATGACATAATTTCATTGTTTCTATCAAAAACTCATGGCCTCTTTTAATTCCCATAATGGATTTGCATGTTTAAATCACTTACAAAGTTTTATTTATGTAATGAATTACACTATTTTTTATATACTATATATTTGTCAAAGCGCCTGTACAATTTTTGCGTTAAATTCAAATAATGAAAACTTAAATGGTTATTAGTAGAACCAATTATATTAAGATACATATATGTATATATATATATATATATATATATATATATATATATATATAATGAGTTTTGTTTGCTTGACGTTGATCCACATTCTTAAAAATAATTATACCAATTTGACGAAAGTAACAAAAATAGATACAGTAAAACTATATATTCAATAATATTCATACATTTTTACTGGTGTAAAGTGCTGCATAATGACGTATCTTTAATGTTTGCAACGGACCCAATAAATATCTTTGATAAAATAAGACTCCTATTTTCAATAATTTTTTTTTATTACTGTTTAGTAATTTTTGTTACAATAGATATTGAGGATTAATGTATGACTGTGATTGAATGTTCACTCACGAGTTTTATTTCTTTACCGAAATAGAAGTTCTATCCATTTTTTATATTCTATTTGCATCACTAATTTTGAATATAAAAATGCAAAAACTTAAAACTTAAAAATACATTTCATATGCTGAGCTATAGATCCTTATTTACACATGCCTACTTTTATATTGCTATTTCTTTAATGTAGGTGAGATATTATAATTAATACGGAAGCAGATATAGATAATTAATTCATATGTAGTATTTCGATTCTATACAAAATCTTCGAGCTAAATCAAAGTTTTGCTTAGAAGTTTTTAAGATCATGTTTACAAAAGCAAACGGTATTATATGTAGTATCTTTTCATATACAATGTAAAACATTCTTGATGTAAGACCGTAACTTTATTCCTGTAATGCTTGCAAAATTCATGGCAGTAGTGATAAGCCAAAGAGGTCGATGTGCATAAAGTCCATTACTGTAAAAACACGGAAAGCTTTATAAAATAATAAATCATACTGAGAAAACTGTTAGATAAAATATAAAACATCAAATATGGGTTTTTCAGATGTTGCGTTGCTATGTATTCGTCTTGGCATGTCAAGTAAAAAACAATATAGAATACATATATTGATTTATATCAACATATATAATTTACTACTCTTTATATTCATAAATAAACGTAAAATAATGTAGATTTGTCATTGGCCTTTTCTTACTCTGAACAGCTTGTAATTTTTTTTTATGGCTTTAATGCATCATGTATTTCGATATTTATGACGATATTTATTTATTTGTTTTGTTCTTTTCATCCCTTCTGTTTGTATTTTTCCCGCGAAATCCAATTATTTTGAGGATTATATTGTGAGTGACAAATTTATTTGTACTTAACTTGGTGTTTTCTCAACCTACCATATTATTAGAATTGAAATTGTTTACAATTACATTAACTATGAAAAATTATTTTTTTATACGACTGACGAATGTTTTCACATATTAATATTTCGTTCAGTATAAAAGAAAAATCATTTAGTTTAAAGACCATTTATATTATATATATATATATATATATATATATATATATATATATATAAACATTTCTTGTGAAAACTTTTTACCTGGAACTAACTTTATTGAATGCCGACATTTCTCTTATTTACATATCCGCTTCCATCTGCCTTTATTATTTTTCATTGTACGAAGAAAATTGAATTTTTTCTTGAAAAAAGTATATTGTATTCTGTCACATCGTATGAAAATTCCGATCTGCGTAAATCAATCGTATTCAAATATTGGTCTATATGTATTATTTAGACTATACTAATAATATGTTTACTTTACTACTTTTGTGCTTTGTTTTACTTAATTTCCATATATTTTCAATATATTGATATTTATTGAAATCATAATCAATTAATTAATTAACATTATAGTTACTGTAAGTGAAAATGCATTCATTATATCCAAAAGCTCCCTGAAAATATTATCATCGTAAATTATATAAATTTCTATAATGCAGTTTTTTAAATTTTTGAATTATTAAGTTAATAAAAAAAAAGTTTTCTATTTTTGAACTGCTACATAATTTTACTTCGTTGACTTGTCATTTCATGTTTATTTCAATTATATAAATCAAATAATATAATTAAATTGCTTCTATATAAAATTTCTATTGTTTGACGTCAAGATTATTTTATTTCAATCATCTCAAGGGCCTTTTAAATAGATATTCAATATACCAAGGAATTCTAAAGATTTGCATTGGAAAATGTGAATGAGAGCAGCGACTCGATCGATATTATCTTTTCTCGTCCGTTAAAATATTACTTAACGTGGGTGGCATTGTGGCATTGAAATCAGTTTTGTATGGTTTCATGAAGTTATTCGGAATTTAACCCTCGGACAGTTTTTAGAAAATTAATATTAATTGTTCACCTACTACAATTGTTCTTAAAATCAGTTTGCCTCTGTATTTCTAGCAAAAAAGTTTGGAATTTGGAAGTAAGGATAAACGCGTTTTGATTAGCATATGTACGAAAAATATTTTTTAAATCGTGTATTTATAAACGGTGTACTTATATTCTTATAATGTACAATGTGAATATTTTTTCCTAGTTGTTACTTTTTTATAAAGAATTACGATTTGTAAATAATATAAAAAGATGACTTTTCTAACCATTGCCGCGAAAAAATATGAATAAAAAAGTACTAATTT